GGAAATAAAGAGTATAATGAATGAAAACAAAGATGTAAACATTGACGATAAACTAGCTCAAAGCATAGTTGATAGCATGCGTGATTTTGAAGTACATAATGACGGTGGAAACATGAATTTAGAAAAAGAAGTTACATTATTCACACTGTTTCAAGCTATTAATTCGTTACCTAATCATTTAATTAATGAAGCATACGATAACGTTTATAACTTCTGTAGCTTAACAGAAAATGCAAAAAGTAATTTTGAAAAAGCACGTAGTAGATATGCATATTTAATGACTTCTCCATTTGTTTTGGTGAAGATTCTAAAACTATATCAAAAGGAATATTATGATGAATATGTTTTGCCTTTATTACGTAAGCCAAAAATAACATTTGATATCAAACTTGATGACTCGTTTTTGATAACAGATATTAGACGCAAGGCTGAAAATCATCAGTATAAAAACAGTTCTGAAGTAATTGAGGATTTATCACGTGTAATCCGTTTTGTAGATTGTGGAAATAAATATTTCATTCAAAAGGACTATAATATCCACGACAAAATGAATCAAATATCATTCGTTCTTCAATCAAACATGAAAGAGTCACTTAAAATGATTAAATTATTTAATGAAGAAGGTAAAACCATAACAGCATGGGATGTACTACTAAATCAATTGTCTTCATTAACCGTTAAGGGTGTTTGCTTTAAATCTAATTCTCCTGATGTTTTCTCAACGTTTCAAGGTTATAAATACAACATTCTCGAAAAACTAGATTACTCAAAAATTGAGATGTTTATGAATTTCATTAAAGAAGCCATTTGTGATAATAACGATGAAGTGTATAAATACCTTCTCGGCTGGATTGCATCAATGATTCAACATCCTGGAATCAAGAATGAAACAGCAATTATTTTGAAAGGACTTCAGGGAACAGGTAAAAACAGATTCACAGACATTATTTCTGAACTTCTCGCTGGTTATTCATGTAAAAACATTACTGAAATAAGTGAGTTAACGGGTAATTTCAACTCAGTAGTTGAAAATAAAATGTTTCTTGTACTTAATGAACTCAAGAATGTAGGTGAAGACAGACTCGCAAACTTCAACGCTTTGAAATCAATTATAACGGATAATGAGATAAGAATTAATGAAAAGAATCAACCCAGAAGAACAGCTCAGAATGTTGCAAACTTCATTTTCGTAACTAATAACGTTTACCCTGTCAAAATTGAAGTTGGAGACAGAAGATATGTAGTTTTAAGAGTTAATGGTAAATATAAGGGTCAATTTGATTATTTCAAGAATTTGATGGATTCATGCACTAAGGAATTTTATGATAACCTTTTAACATATTTTATCAATTATGACCTTTCATCATTTAATGTACGAATCATACCGATGACTGAAGCCAAACAAGATTTAATTGAATTATCATCAAATCCTTTAGATGTATGGATAAATACACATTATGATGAATTGTGTGCAGGTATGACATGTAAAAATGCCCTATTATGCAAACCATCAGACATGAAAGACAAGAATTTTCAAATGAGTATTAAGGATAAATGTGATAAGAAACAGAGAAGAATAGATGGTAAACAGACATGGTATTATGTTTTGAAAGAAGAAATGAAAGGATTATATAAACAGGTTGAACCAAACGATAATGAGGATTCATTTACTGATGATGAAATACCTGTAAATGAAGCTTTATAAAGTATGATTTGAATTTATTTTTGCATTAATCCTGTGATGTTGTCAAAATGTCATGTTGTCTCATTTTTTCAGAGAAGTGAAATGACCGAGTGACACTGAGTGACATAGTGACACCTTCAGTTCTTCAAAAATAATTAATTATTGAATAACCCATGATGTTGTCAAAATGTCATGTTGTCTCATTTTTTCAGAGAAGTGAAATGACCGAGTGACACTGAGTGACATAGTGACACCTTCAGTTCTTCAAAAATAATTAATTATTGAATAACCCATGATGTTGTCAAAATGTCATGTTGTCTCATTTTTTCAGAGAAGTGAAATGACCGAGTGACACTGAGTGACATAGTGACACCTTCAGTTCTTCAAAAATAATTAATTATTGAATAACCCATGATGTTGTCAAAATGTCATGTTGTCTCATTTTTTCAGAGAAGTGAAATGACCGAGTGACACTGAGTGACATAGTGACACCTTCAGTTCTTCAAAAATAATTAATTATTGAATAACCCATGATGTTGTCAAAATGTCATGTTGTCTCAAACTTTAGAACGGCATAATTTAAATTTTTATTTTTATCATAAATGAATACCCCACAAGCTCAAAATTTACCACGAATCATAACAAGGGAGGAAATGATAAAAATGATGCAAGAACATGTTAAAAATAACAAACCACTAAAATTGAGAAAATGTGGTTATGCAGTAATGATGGAAAGAGAGATGTTGTCGAAGAGGAATAAAAATTAAATTTGGATAGAGTTTAAAAATTCATCTTTATTAAATTCATCTCTTCCAACCAATTTATTTATTCTATTAAATTCTTTTATTTTTGCTTCACTCAGTTTAATGATTGAACGGTAAGTTTCTAATTTTTCGATTATTTCTTTCCTCTCTTTATCGTTTTCAACCCCACCGCATTGCGACTTCTTTTTGTAATAGCATATTTTTGATTTAATTCTGTTTAGTTTCTTTTTATATTCATCGTCTGGACTCTTGACTGCTTCGTTGTCACTCATTTCTTACGAAATAAAAAAAATTAAATATTATTTAAATATAATGGAGTAATAAAATAAATCGGAATTTCTATTAATTTCTTGTCAACTTCAACTAATGCATTGCCGTTAATATATCTAACAAATTCAGCTATTGTGTCAAATCTTCGTCTTCTTTTTGTCATTGATTTATCAGTTTTTCCATAATCGAGATGAATTAAAACTTTATTTCCTTGTTTAAAATTCATGAGCCCCGAATTAATTTGTTCACGTTTAACATCATTTAACCTTTCCATTTGCTTTCTAATATATTCCCATTCTTTTGAAATATCATTTTTCATTTCCACTGGTTTCATGTTTATAGTTCTATGCCATGTATTATTGTAATAATATACTAACTGCTGTATGATGGAGTCATGATTTCCATCCCAGTATATCTGACCGTTAACACCTAACGCATCTCTAAGAGTTCTCATTACCGCATCAACTATTTTATTATGAAACGTATATGGAGAGGATGAAAAGTAAAAATGAATTTGTGGAAAATAATGAGTCATAGCTGCCTGAAATCCTTTATCACCATCACCCCTGATATTATCTACTCTTTCATGATCTAGTAAGTATTGAATAGCTCTTCTTGTTTCCTGTTCTGTTTTCCCTTTCACTGGAATGCAATATAAATATCTAGTGTTAATGTTAATGGCAAATAAATAAGTAACGTTTCCTTTTGAATATTCCAGATGATCGATTTCGTATGAATATGGATATGGAGCAAATGAAGGTCGACTAAATTTTTCCTTTAACGGTTGAATTTTTGGGTCAATTGGTTTATTTAATATCTTGAAATCCTTTTTAAAATCTTTTTGCTTCTTTAATGTTTGAAATGGATATAATAAAGTGAATGATGAAGGATTAACTGAAGGAGGGGGAGGTACTACTGTTGGAGGTTTTGGTGTTGTAAGTGGTTTAATTTTATCTGCTTTGATTTTGGAATTCATTCCTTCCTTCATTAATTCTGGATGTATTCTATTCATTTGTTTTAAATATGCTGTATATAAAGGTTTGATATACTTTCCCGCTTCGAGTTTATGTTGAAGGATGAATTCCAAAAGTTGATCTTCACTTAAAAGTCGGGCTGAATATGGTTTAACTAATGAATCATAAATTAAAGCTTGTGCTTCATTTATGGTCTGAAGGACCTGGGTGTTTTGCACCTTTTGTTTTTGTTCCTTTGGTTTTTGCGGCTCAGGATTATATAATTTATATAATTCATCAATATTCTTCTGTTAATACTTTATTTTTGAAATCTTTCAACTGTTTAAGTTGTGATTTAGTTTTTCCCTTTGAATATTCATTATTTTTAATTTTGTCTTTAATTTCAGAAATTATTTTATTATGATATTTCAAAATTTCATTTTTATAATATGGATAATAATATTCCATATCATCACCCGTTATATTTTTATTATGTTTTTGGAGATATGATTTTAATTCATAATAACTAAGAAAATTTTGATTAAGTACTAAATCACCAATTAAATTTTTTAAATCTACGCTATTCATTTATATAAAAATAAAATCAATGTTTTAAGGGTGCCCACCTCTTTGAATCAAGAATCAAAACCATCATTAACGGTTCCTTTTGTCTCTTCTGTGGCATTTTATTAAATAAATGGCATACAACATCCATTTTCACAACATACAGCCTTAGTGTGTGCTCCTGTTAATGCAGTCTTACCAATTGTTAAGCGAGTCATTGACCCATTTTTAAGTTGTAAATTAATATTCTGACCATCAAATATTTCATTATGGTAGTGAATCTTTTATTCATGAAAATAATTATTTCTAATTTCTTTTACTCTCTCATACATACTAGATTTAAAGAATTCAGAACATTTCCCATAATCGCCTAAATGTTTTCTTATCTTATTGGTTTTCCATTCATTATATGAAACTGAATAAACTTTATCTTTATCTTTGCATCTTTCATCACTTCCAATATATTTATATTTCAATTTTGACTTATTGGTTTCATATTCATTAGCGTTTAATAATTCACAGTCTTCCTTTTTAAATTGATGTTTTATGTATTCAGGATTAAGAATTCTATAATATTGCTTCCCTTTAAATCTTTGAATATAAACAGGAACACCATCCTCTAAAATTCGATAATCTATTTTATCTGGTTTTACTTGTTGGGTCATTTATGTAAGAATAAAAAATAAATTATTTTAAAAAATAATGTTAAAAATAATGATACAAAATCGTTCAATATTGTATGAATTCTTACGTTTACAAAAAAAGTCACAAAACCCATCCTATACTACTACTAACCTTTCTGAAAGCACGTGTTATATACATAGATGTTATGCCAATGTACTTCTCTTCATTTATGTTCACAATCCAGTCTGTTGGAAACTTAAACGTTACTCTGTTCCCCTTTATTTTGACGTCAGGGTTTTCACTACTGAACGCAACAGATAAAGGTATTTGTCTATACATTTAGTTCCGATAAAAATAAACCATTTACTCTTTCTTTGCTTCAGCTTCTTTAGCTTTTGCTTCAGCTTCTTCTCTAGCTTTCTTCGCCAGCAAACGTGGGTTCTTTTGTCTTCCAGCAGCTAATGCAGCAAGTTGTTTTTCACTAAGTTTTCTCTTTGGTCTCTCTGGTTTTTGTTCTTGTTTTTGTTCCTTCAGTTCGGATAAAATTTGCTCGCGAATTTCTTTCTTCAATGCTTCAACATCTATGACCCCTTGGGTCTTGTCCATATGACTTGTCTGAGTCATTTGACTGCAGATAAAAAATAAAATTAAAACTTTAACCGATGTAAAATGAGCTTGTCAAAATCAGAACGAGAGTCTATTATATTAAATGACGCAAGAGGAATACAACATCCTTTCTATTATGTAAGTCAGAGTAAAGATGGTAAAATATACGTAAGAAAAAGAAAGGTTCCATTAGCGAATACAGAGAGCGACAACATTAAGGTGCATGGCACCGAGGGCGAAGCCCATATAAAACCTTCTATTCAAACTGAAAAGTCAATAGAACAAGAAGAAAAGAAGCCAGATGTTCTTTCAATAACGAACCAAGAGCTTATTGCAAAGTTCGTGAATTTCATTGAAAAGCAAACCGAGTCAAAGAACCCTGACCCACCAGTGAAAGAAGTTGAGACAAAAGAGAATGTACAGTTCATTGAAAATGTCAAGAAACAACTTCCACCACGAATGCCAAGAAGAAGAGTGAGAATAATGAAGTAAATAGATATTTTTATCCGAAGTAAATACATGCAGAACGAACAGTTAAACGAATTTACTCCAGCAGAGCATATTCATCAGATTCGCTCATATTTCGATATCATAGACAATGCAGTTCAAATTGGTGACACTAATAGAAAATATTCTGACGCAAAGATTCCATCACAACCTGGAACTGCTAAAGATAACACATGGGTAACATTCAATCTCTCACCTCCTGGTGAAAATATGTTGGACCTTTACAATACATTCATTACGTATAAAATGGAAGGTCAATTTATTGTAGATAAAGAAATTGGTTCAGGTTCCAATAAAACAAACCCACCAGGATTTTGGATTGGTTTCGATGACGCTTTCTATGCAGTTGCTGGATATCAAATCCTTGCAAATGGTCGTATCGTATATTCTCAAGACAACGCAAGAGAAGAAGCATATATAACTTCAAACTCACAAACTACCGAACAAATAAAGAAAGTAGATGTTTTCTCAAAGACTCGACATGAAGATGTATGGAGTCATTCGGGAACATGCAGAACAGGACAAATTGTTAGTGGTCCAATTACAGCAGGAAAATCATTTGATTTTAAGCTTCGTTTAAGAATTCCTGTTAGAAAGTTTTTACCATTAGAAGCTATAAGATTTATTCCTGCATTTGCTGGTAACATTCAGCTTAAAGTAAAGTTCAGTAGCGACGCCTTACAATGCACATCTATATCTGTAAATGATATCATTGCTTTCAATCCAACTCTTAAAGTTGCATTTGCTTCAGATTCAAATCCACCGACAAATAAATTTGTTCCATGGAATGAACCATTCACTATGATAACGAAGGCAGTAGAAGCTAGTGGAACAGTTACTATTACAACTGTAACCCAGCAACTATTTCGAACAAAGATGGATTTTAATGAATGTTTCATTCATCCAAAGTCATTCTCTTTAGACCCTAACATTTATACAGAACTTGTAGAACATTATACAAACGAGGCTTTATGTTTTCCTGTTAAAGTTATGGATTGGATTCCTATGGACGGTTCATTCTCAAAGAATACAGATAGTTCAAGTGCAACATTTACAGCAGCTTATACGCCTATTAATGTTAAAAGTATTTGGGCACTATTTAGAAAGAAAGACAACTATTATGTTAATTTTGAGAACCCTAAGTTTAAATATCTTCAGCTTTCCATGGGAGCTTATGGAAATATGCCTGCAGAACCTGAAAAATCATATGGACCTGTATTTTATGAAATGGTTGCGAACGCCTGCAATACAAACAATGATATGATAGGATTTAATGAAGATGTTATGAGGTCATTGGTGGATGATGGTAGTGTGGAACATAAATGGGATAGCTATGACAACACACATTTCTTATGTGGTTTTCCAACTGAAGTGGACTTTTGCTTCCAGCAAGGTCAAACATCTACTGCTCCAATAACATACAAATTGTCTGTTAAAGGACCTATTGAACTAGCAACTGAAAATGTACCAAAGCCACTTATTGGATTTATGAGGGATTGTTGCTTTGCCATTCAGGTGCGTGCTAATGGAATCCCAATAATAAGATTAGATGACTATAACTTAGCTACGGACGACAGTGAGGAATAAAGGATGAACGTTTATTTTTAAAGCTTATAAATGAGTTCTTCATCAAGCTCTCGTGAACCTTCACCATCTATGAAACAAACTTTACCAAACGATTATGGAGCACCTATTGAATATTTCTTACGAGCTGCACAATGGCAAAGAGCAGTCTCACCAAGGTTAGGTGTTCCACCAGCTCCTGTCAAAAATAGCATTTGGTCAAGTCCTTATATAAGATATGGTCTCCCACTAGGTTTGCTAGCTACAGCAGGAGCAGTTATGATGTTGAAAAGAAATAAAGCAAATGTTGTAAATAATACTGAAGTAGCTGAAGTTAAACAAACTCCAACACCTTCAATGACTCCTGAACCTATGGAAGTACAAACTCCTGTTCAAAAGTCAACTCCTAAACCGACTCCAACATTTAAACCAGAACCTACTCCTCAAATAAATCGTAAAACTCCTGCGTTTCCTTACTGAAAAAATAACGTTATTTTTATTTAATATTAAAATTTTTATTTGATTGAAATGACAAATAAAGTCACTGAAGCAATGAAACAAAAGTTTTTGGTAGAATACATTAAATCAGGAACTATTCCAGAAGGTTTTTACATTCATACTATGAAGGATGGTAGAGTTCAGTTTAGAAAGATAAAGCAACCATTAGATAGAGAAGGTATATTAAGGAAGATTAAACTTCATGAGGACAACATTGCTGAACTTAAGAAGAAGTTAGAAGAGTTGGAGAAAGGAAGAGAGTTATAAAGCAATGAATTCAACAGGTTAGAAAAGAGGTTAGAAAAGAGGTTAGATCTACCCTTCTACCCTAAGTTTAAATGGATGTTTTCATACGTGTGAGGGTGGTGATATCATTAATTTTTAAGTTTATTTTTTATTTTATTTTTTATTTTATTTTTATATAAATGACGAAAACTATTGAGATAACAAACTACAACGGTCATGAGTTCAAGAATTTGTTCTTTGTTCCTCGTGAAAATACATTCTATCAGATACGAGGGAGAAAGGGTAAAGTTAGTTTGAGCGTTTATGACAACAAACATAATGGGAGATATATAAAAGCAATAGATACAAACGGTAAGCGTGTTTCATTAGCTTTGTCAAAACTTACAGGTATAAACTATGACAGTGATTTTGACCTATATGAAGAAGAAAGTGAGTCAGAAGATTATGAGCTGTTATGTGAAGCACAGCAATGGGAAGAGTTGCAATACTTTTGTAAGTGAGAACGTTTATTTTTTACATTAGTGAGGTGAAGTGGTTGGCGGCTTTGTAAATATTTAAGGTTAAGTTAGTGTTGTCGTTTGTGTTGTAAAATATACGTTAGCGGTTTTGTAAAGTGTCAAATTCACATATCAAGGGTAAGGAGGCGCGCAGTGCCTCCGTACCCAAGATATGTATACTAACTAGAATTTCAATGACATACTACAATTCGCAAACTCAAATTCCTCTTCTTCTACAGAAAACTCTACAACTACAGATTCTACATCTCAAGGAATTCAATCTCAAAATTCAAATTTTCCAAATGAAAATTTGGAAAATTCCCAAAATGCAGAATCAACTGATGATTTTCAATCATTAATAACGCCAATACAAGAAGATCATTTTCCTTCTGCCAACGAACTAAAACAAGGGTTTGATATTGCCCATGATGTTTTAATTAGTCCGCCACCTGAGAATCAACATCCAGAAATTGATGAAGAAGAGACACAAAAAGCAATTTATCTATTACAAAACTTAGACTTTCCTAAGAAATAAAATTATTTAATTTATTCTTGTTTGTTTTTTAATTAAACATGTATATTTATTAACATTTCCTTTTTTAATACCTTTCCAACTTCTATTAGTAACAAACACATAACTAATTTGAAGATTTAGCGTTATGAAGAAGTATCCAAGTAATAACGTCAATAATGCATTTGCGATAGGATATAATTGCACCAAAGGTTAAAACTTGTATAAAGAATGAAAAATGAAATTTAATATAATTTTTTTTCGAAAAAAATCCATGCTTGGCTAGATTTTCATAGTTATTGAATATGCATTACTGACATCTTGTAAAAGATGCCGATCAAGGCTTTCAAGATTGCTAAATTTCTCGATTAAAATTTACATTTTTTTTTATTTGTGTTTAATTACATTTTACAGTTTGCAAACTTACATAAAATCCGCAACATAGTGGTTATTTAATATTTGCCCCACAGTATTGTAGTTTGAAATTTACGATAAGATTATAATTGATAAAGTAAGGTTTTGTCATTAATGCATCTTATAAACTTTCATTGATAAATATGGATAGATAAGTTCTGTGTTCAAAAGTAAGCATTTTTTTAAAACGCGCAATTATATCAAGAACGACTATCATAAATTCATGAGTATCGATGATTTTCGTTTAGGATGGACTTAATCGGCTTGATTGATATACATATTTTAAAATGGCATAGCTTTGTGCATGTTATGTCAAGCATTGTGCCAAACCAATTTAAAATGAAACAAATTATTTTAAAGAAACTATATATGAACTATTCGAACACTTTATATTAATGTAGGGAGCTATAAATTGAGTAGGTGACAAAAGTGCATACTCTTAAACAACCGTCGGATTTCCGGGTGAAATCGTGACACACTTTCGTCTTTCGTAGGCAGTGGTGGTTGTTACAAAAGGTAACTTCGAATGTAGCGTGAAATCTGCAAAAAAAATTCTGAAATTTGAATGGAGAACACAAAAATTGAATAGTTTACGTCAATAAAAAAGAGAAAAATGAAGCCAATGTGTCTCGAACCTAGGACTTAGAACAGCAATCCCACTGTTTATCCCATTACATATTACACTACATGCATCTCTCACCTCAGTGAATGAGATCAACTATATGATAACTTTTTCCCCATTATATTCTTGTGGAAAAGTGACAAATAGCAACTTTGACCCTCTCTCGCTATAAATTTAAATATTCTAAAAATTTATTTATTTGTTAAGAGTTCGGAACAAATTTATTATTGAATATATAGGAAATCAAATAATTATGCATAATCGCATAAAAAAATGCTGAAACAATGAAAAGAAAAAAATAGTTGCCCAATAGAAAAAGTCGAACCCATACCCCTGCTCATTGAGTTATCCTCACTTTCAAGTTTCGATCGAAAAAAAGGTATTTAATCGCGTAACTCGCACCGTTTAGTCGTATTTCGAAGTTCTATATAGTATTAAAGATTAAGTTACATTATGTACAAAATAACTTTTTATTGTTATTTGATTTTGATAGCATTATTAGCTGAATATGAAAAATCTCGTAGAAATAATCATTTCATTCAGACATAAGTATTGGATTGTTTCCCAATAAGCATAATAACACACGTTTCATATTATAATTTATTTCATTTCTGTACAAAATTTAGATAACGATATCAAATAAAAAAAACTGTGGCCTTTTTTTACTTCAAACTATCATGAAGTGTAACCAAATTGGGTGAGTATTCTTGCTATCAGTATGACATGAAAAAGTGAACGACAAAAATTGAAGATATTGTAGTTAACTCGGATTTTTTTAATTGCAAACACATCTATAATTTGTTTAAATATCATTTATTATATCAAAATCGAAAAATTCGTTTTTGGAAATCTTTGAATTTATGAGAAGTTCTACAAAGACACTTACAAATATAGCGTTTGCAATAAAAAGGCTCTTTAATCTTCTTCATCCTTGCTCAGAAACTTCTACTGGTTACCTTACGGGTAACCTGCAAAGCTGCTTCCAAGGCATCGGGAAAATAACGTATTTTCGTGAGACTACCTTTCTTTAGGAGAATATAATTTTCCATTTGGAAAATTTAAAAAGTGAGATGCGCAGGATTCGAACTTTTTTTAAAAGTTGATTTAAATGAATTTTAGTGTGGAATATAAGGATAATATCATATTTAAAATAAGAATATACTAGTTTAGGTGGTATTAATTTTTTCGATAAATTTGAGAGTATGTACGTTTAGGGCATGAAAAGTGTCAATTCGCTCAGCGAAAGCTGAGCTAGCTTCGTTCTCGAAAGAATAAGGAAGGAGTGAAGGAGAATGATACAGAAGTTGACACATTCATATCATTTCAACAAATTTTGATCAAATTGAAATTCAATAAAATTCAATTCAATTCATATCCTTCAGTCAGTACATTGATATCCTTCTGCATCACAATGATAACTCGGCATCAATAGTTCTACAACTAACTCAGAAAAAACAAGATTATTACTTCCTGCTTACAGCTTTTAAAAAGTTTCGATGATAAAAATCACTCTACTTTCGTTTATCGACATATGGTGATAGTAGGTAAACATATTCTTATCGATATTAATAAAAATATTTGTACGAAAATCTTATCCAATTAGAGAGTTATTCATAAAGTATATGATAATTATAATTACTTTATCTTTGTTTTATCTTTGAATAAACAATTTAATTTAAATTGCATAATATTTTTTGGTTGAAAGACAGGAAACTTAGTTGAGTTTGTATTATTTTTATCGTTTAATTCATCGTATCAGTGAGTGATCCAGATATTTAAGATATTTAGAAAAAAAATTATTAATTTGATTAATAAATTTTAATCAAAATAGCAAAAATCTATTTGATAGCTGTAAACAAACAATAATTTTTATTTCAAGCAAAATCACTTATTTTCATCTAAACGTATAAAATTGTCAATTTTATGAAAATAAATTGAAAATCTCATGAAATGTAAAGGAGAGTAATATTTTTCAATTTTCTTTTTTTCTTTGTCTCAAATATTTTCTGTTGGGAATTTTCTTGTTATCAAAAAATAATTTTAATATTTGTTTATTTCATTACATACAATAAAATTTTAAAAACTCTATTTCTTCACAAGAAAATTTTTTTCCTTCATATGAAGAAATATTTTGTTCTGCATTTGATACTGAGTCTAAATCTCGATTTTTGAATTTTCTTCTTTCCAAATTTCTTTTTTCCAAATTAGAAGTTTAATTCAAATTTTCAATAGTTTATATATTTTCTCAAACCGTCTCAGATTTTCTCACTTTTTAGGGATTTTCTCTCAAAATATACAAAAATAGTAATATCAATACATGTGTCTAATATACTTTAAACCCATCGTGACAAAATTCAAAAACGAAGAGTTCTTCTCTCCAAATTTTTTTCAAAATCAAAAAAATGAGATAAAAAAGCACGTTTGGAAAATTCATTTTTAGCATTTTAGGAATTTTCTCACTTTTCTTCCAAATTGACATCCTTACTGAAATCAAATAAATCAATTAATTTGAAATCTTAATTTAGAAAAATAAGCTGGATTTCAGAAATTTATTCCACCTTTTCAAAATAATTGAATGCTCTCTGAAACTTTGGTATTTTTGTCAAATTTATGTTAAGTGAAGAACTTGAGCGTGCCCAAAACTTCCATCCACCATCATTTCCATCCGAATGGATTAGGAATCGAACCAATCCTAAGAATGATACAAAAATTTTTGTTTTAAAAGTGGAACAATTCCTATCTACCCAAATTGATGTAAATTCAGAGCAATTTCTTAAAAGTCAAAACGAAATACTCATATTTGGCACTGATAATGAACAAAGATCTATATGTATTCGCGTCAAAAATTTTCTTCCATTTTATTATTTAAAATATTTCGGACAAAAAACGGTTAACAATGAGTTAATTGATGAGGCAATCTCTAAAGCATTAACTACATTCCATTATTCTATCGTTAAAATGGAAATTGTCGAAAAATACAACTTTATTGCTTACGAAGAAGAAAAATCACAATATATCAAAGTATACACTAAGGATTACAATGATTTACACAGTGTTGATGACTCAATTGAAGCATTCGAAGGCCTTGTAATTCCATATGAACATTACATCACAACAACCACACGATTTGGAACCGAAACAGGTATCCACACAGGAATATGGATAGATTACAGTCCATCTAACTACAAATTAGTTCCAATCAAAGAAAGAATCACAACAACAACAGTTGAACTTGAAATAAACTACGAAGAACTATGTGTTACACCATTTAATGCCGAAATTCCTAACATTAGAGTCATGATTTACGATTTTTTCCTTGATAAGAATGAAAAACAAATAAATGCAACAGCAATCATCAAAGAAGGAAACAAAGAGATCTGCAAACCATCATTTATAGTGAATAAACCAGAACCAGACCTTCAAAACTGTTACTTTTTTGAAAATTCAGAAGAATTAATGAAATCTTTCTCCAAATTCATAGATGACACTGATCCAGACATAATTATATCATTTGGAAAGCGATATCTATCATTATTCAAGACTTCTTCCGGAAGATCTGTTAATAAATCTCTGAATATCGTTGGACGTGAGTTTTTATCATTCATTCAATACCCAGAGTTCATAAAACAAAGGTCTTCAAACACTTTGGAAGGTTACTGCCACGAAATACTCAACAAAGAAATTCCAACCTTAAAAAATCCAACTTTTTCACAAAATCTGCCATGTAAACTAGTTTACAACGTTTGTCAGAAACGGTTAGACGGTTTGATTGAATTAATTGATCATTACAAGTTTGTTGAGTCCACAGTGCAGATGTCTAGCATCACATTTGTTAGTTTGTATCAAAGTTCGTTTAGAATAACAACTCAAATGGTTTTGTCAAAAATTTTGGAAAAGTGTCACACCCGTAACTTTGTAATCAATTCCAATGATGACAGCCATAGCAGTGGATTAAGAGGAGGCAGTGTTATTGAGCCGGAACATAAATACTACAAAAATAGTTTCACTTCATTTTTTGACTTCCAATCTCTTTATCCTTCATTGATTATAGCGAAAAACATATGTTTCTCAACATGTCTGCCAAAGAGTGACGATTTGGCTGCAAATAAAATGTATTATAGAAGTAATTATTTGTTGAAACACGGAAAAGATGTTGATTCTGATGAAATAGTACAAAATATTCAGAAAGAATTGGATTTGTTCAACAAAAATGATTCAGAAATTTCCAATTCTTTTGATAACAATAATTCAATTGAAAATCAAATGAAAAGTGACAATTTACGAAAAAGTGACACAAGTCAAAATTACAATTCAACAAAAATTGATGAAAATAGAAGTAATGATTTATTGAAAAGTGACAATTTACCAAAAAGTGACAATTTGACAAATCAAATTTTAGCTGATGAAAATAAAAGTGAAATTAATCAAACTATTAATAAAATAATAGTTGATGAAAATAAAACTGACAGTTTGATAAAAAGTGACAATTTGACAAATCAAAGCAAAATTTTGAATAAAAGTAGCAATTTGGATGAAATTGAAGTTCATCAGATTGAAGGATCAGAAAAGGATGAAATTCCATTTTTGAAGTTTGTTTCAAAAGAAAAGAGAGAAGGAATATTACCAGAGATTTTGAAAGATTTGTTGAAATCAAGGGAAGAAGTCAAAAGTCAAATCGAAGAACTGAGGAAAGAGAACAAACTCAAAGAGATAGAAGTGCTTGATTGCAGACAACAAGCAATCAAAATTGTCTGTAACTCTGTTTATGGATTTACTTCGTTCCAAACATTTGGAATTGACCAAATTTCAGCTGAAATTACTAGACAAGGAAGAGTTTATCATTACATGGCAATGCAGTTCTTGCAGACAAAGAATTACAATGTAATCTATGGTGATACTGATTCTTTGTTTGTAAATTTCGGTTCTGACGATTATTCGACAGTTTATCAGAAAAGTTTACAAATTTGTGAGGAAATGAACGAAAAAATTTTCGAAAATCCTGTTAAAATTAGGCTTGAAAAGATCTACAAGAACTTCATTATCTTTTCAAAGAAACATTACGCAGGAATAAGAATGGATTTGCAGCCAAATGAAATTGATATAAAAGGAATTGAAACAGAAAAAAGTGACAGTTGTGAATTTCTGAAAGATTTAATTTTCCGGAGTTTATCAATTATTTTACAGAAAACTTTTGATGATGGTGTTAATTTTGTCAAAGAAATGATGACAAAAATGTATAATGGAATGATTCCTTTGAGTGATTTCATTATACAGAAACAACTCGGCCAAAATATTAATGAATACAGAACTAAAACAGTTCAGTGCGAAGTTGCCAAGAAAATGATAGAAAGAGATAGGAAAATTTTACTTGGAAAAGGTGATAAAATAAGATTTTTGGTTTACAAAGGAAAGAAATTAACTGATCCTTTGTATTCAAGAGCTGATGAACCTGTTTATGTTGTTAGTTGCTTAAAAGAAATAGATTATAACTACTACGTCACAAAGTTGATTATTCCTACTCTTGAAAGAATTTTTATGGTGATCAACGTTGAAAAAACTGAAAAAATGATTAATTTTTTGAAAGAATTTAATAAGAAAAATAGAAAAACTGGCATCAAAAAGGCTGATAAAAGTCTCAAAAACGAATATTTGTCTAAATGTGAACAGTGCAGGAATTGTAGATTTGATGATATAGAATGCATATCCATAGACTGCGATATCTGTTTGCAGTTGACAAAACTTAGATACGAACCATGAACTAATTTTATCATTGTAAATTACTTATTATATATTTATGATCTTTTACTTTTTGATAATGAGCCTGCCTTGAAGATATTCAATGGATACTATACATATGCAAACACTCTATATTATTTGAAATTTTTCTCAATCTTCAATAATGCCACCATTTTATTTCAAAAATATATAGAAACTAAAATATAGCATTCTTTTGCTTCTTTCATACTTAAATAATGCAAAATTTACTATTTTTTTTCAAAACTTCCCACATCCAAGAATTGCCAAGCTTGGCAATTCGTGATGAGCAATATTTGCGTTTATGGACGGCAAGAATTGCAAAGCCGAGCATATTGTTGCCAATAAGGCATTAAAAAATGATGTAAACTATTCAAAATTGAATACTTACGCCTTTTATCTCGCAGTTTACAACTTTTTAATTTTCTTGATGAGTGGCGGTCTTACTGTTGATCTTGACTATTTTGCTAAAAATATTCAAACATTCATTGATCAAGACAACTTTTATGATGTCGTTGAAAAAGAAGACATCCCAAAAGTTTTAGAGAAAACAAATCTAGATTCAACTACCTTCAAAACTCTCCTTTCGCAGGGTAAATCAAAATATAATTCATCCAAACTATATAACATTGTTCGAAAGTGCGCTGTTTCTATAAGTTCATTTGAAGATGCACTTAACGTTCTCAAAACTTACAAAGATATTCTTAAACTTAAATCATCTGGTAGCTTAATTGACTTTTTATATAAATACAAGACGGAATGCATTACGAATTCTCAAGAAGTTTCGAATTTCCAAACCGAAATTCGAAATCTCAAAAATAAGAATGATCAATTAGAAAATGAAATCTTAACACTCAAAAATGATAATGACAAATTACGTCAATCAATCAGTGAATTTGCAAAAATTTCTGAATTACGTTCTAATTCTAATTTTGATACAGTTTACAATTTCCTTAAACAACTTTCAGATGAAGGCGATAAACTGAAAATGTCAATTTCGTGTGCAGTTGGATTAAGTGAAAAGAGAAATAGATTTGGATCCACTCCACTTCTTTATGCATGTTATAAAGGAGATCTTGAATTGACAAAGTCTCTTATTGAAGGAGGTTGTGACAAAGATGCAGTTAATAAAGGCGGAAATAATTGTTTGCTTATAGCATCATTAAATGGACATCTTGAAATTGTGAAATATTTAATTGAAATTGGTATTGACAAAAATTGGCAAATAACTAAAGGATATAATGCAATTCTTTTGGCATCACAAAAGGTCATCTTGAAACAGTTAAATATTTGAACAGTATTGGTTGCGATGTAAACTCTAAACAAACCGATAATGCTAATTGTACTTACTTGGCATCATTAAATGGTCATCTTGAAACTGTTAAATATCTTGTTTCAGCTGGGGGAGATCCAGATAAAAAAGATAGACATGGATTTTCTCCATTAATTGTTGCATCAAAAAGAGGTCATCTTGAATTAGTTAAATATTTCATTCAATGCGGATGTAATAAAAATGATAAAACAGGTGATAATAACTCTTCTCTTCATTGGGCAACGTTAGAAGGTCATTTTGATGTTGTTGAATATTTAGTTTCAATTCATGTTAATCTTAGTGATAAAAACAAGAATAGAAAAACTCCACTTGATTATGCAAAAGAAAAACAAAACGAAAATGAAAACTATAAAAAGATCATGAATCTTCTTATTCAAGAAGGTGCACAATAAATATATCAATAAATTTTATCCTTTTATAATTAATTCACTGCATATAAACTTAACAAACAACATAAATTTTTAATTTTAAATAGTCCATATTATATAATTAAGGGTGCACTTACGCCCCTATGACAGGGCCTTCAATTCAGACGTTTAAGGTTAAATTTCAATGGCGCTTCACGCCACTTGTCAAAAATTTGAATTAAAGTCAGATGGGCGTAAGTGCAGCCTTAATTAAACCAAATATGATTTCATTTCCATCTCGAATTTCATTTAAATTTTCAGTCCCTATTACATACAAAGCCATACAAATTAAAATTGAGAATCGGCGCAGATTGGTGCAAAGTGAAAAAAAAATTGACACATTAAATTTGTTTTTCGCTGTTTTTGCGTCAGCAGTTGATATCCAACTAAAATCAGGTATAAATTATATCACATCTCCTATTGAGATCACTGAAAATCATACTCGCATCATTGGTGATAAAAAAACGAGATTAGTTGGTGGCATCAAATTATCAAATTGGGCTAAAGTATCAGACAAAAGTATTTTAAACAGATTAGATGAAAGCATTAGAAGCAAGGTATATCAAATAGATCTTAAAGAATTCGGTATTACAAATCTTCATCCCTTTTACCCTCGTGGATTTGGATATGCAGCTCCATATTCACATAACCATTTATATATTGATCAACAACAAATGAACATCGCCCAATATCCTCGACTTGGTGAATTTATAAAAATTTCTTCTCCAACAGAAGCGATATCAATAGAAAATGGCGTTGGAATTAATGATTCTCGCATATATACATGGCAGTATCATCCTTATATCATGGCATGGGGATATTGGAATCACGGTTGGAGTGGATCGACTCAGAGAGTCACCAAAATAGATAAAAGTAGTCAAACGGTTTACTTTGAAGAAGCTAGAAATACCACAGTTGCAAAATCCGGCGATTCAATTTTATTCTTTAATATCCTTGAAGAAATTCGATATCCAGGTGATTTCTACATTGATAACGAGACAAAGATCCTTTATTTCATACCATTTGACAAAATTAATTCAAAAACCGAAATATTTTTATCAAATTTAACTTAACCAGTTATACGAGCCAGGAAAATAAGTGACATCGAAATTCGAGACATTACTGTAGAATCAACATCTCAAAACGGCATTGAATTAGCAGGCTGTTCAAACGTTATTATAGATAATGTAAAAGTTTTCAATATTGGCATCACTGGCATTGTTTTAAGTGGGGACAATATTAAATTACAGAACAGTGTAGTTCATAATACTCTTGGTACCGCAATTTCGATGACAGGCGGAAACAGACTTACTTTAACAAAAAGCAACAATTTAATTTATAATTGTGAAGTTTATTGGTTCGGAAACATGTCAAGAAACTATTTCCAAGCCATTTCATTAGGTGGCGTTGGTCATACAATACGTAATTGTCTTCTCTACTATGGCCCACACAGTGCAATTGGATGGTCCGGAAACGATCATATAATTGAATACACTGAGATGCATCATATTGTTCAAGAAGCTAGTGATGCAGGCGTTGTATATTCAGGACGAGATTACACGTATCGAGGCAACATTTTTAGGAATAACTATGTCCACGATGTCAACAACTCTAACTTTATCATGGGATTTTATTTCGATGATTGTATACATTTTCTACAATATTAAATATGCACTTCTGATAGGAGGAGGCAGAGATTACATTGTTAGAAATAATGTGTTTATTAAAAATACTAATGCAGTCAGAACTGATTCGAGATGTGCTAATGGAAAGAACCCTTTGATGATGAAGAATCATTTAACATTATCAGAACGATATTATAAAATCAATGGAAATCCAAATGTCACAGGATATTTACCTCCATATTCAGATAGATACGAGAATATCTCGAAGATTGATGATTACTATAAGCGAAGGACCGTCGAATATCCATTGATTCCTCCTTCAGTTATTTATTCATATAATGCTTTTTATAATAACACAAGGAAATTCCTCAATCCATCAAATATGAATGAAGTTTACTTCGACAATAACATTGATGCCGATGAATCTGATTTTGCCGATTTTGCTAATGGAGATTACTCCATCAAGAAAGGGTCAAGACTTAACAAACTTGGTTTTGAACCAATTGACATGAACAAAATCGGACTAATCAAGGAAAGTGGAAAAGGAAAAATTGTTGCAATTTCCATTGTTGCTGCTTTATTTATTATTGCAGTAATTGCCATAATAGTAGGAATTATTGTTTCCAAATGCAAAAGCGATGAGCACTCAACTGTGACCAAATCAGTTGATGCTTAGCAATAAAAACTTTTTTTTTTCATCTTAATCACCAAAACAGTTAAAATTTTTGATGAATTGTTAAACAAATATGACATATATACATAGTAATATCAGTGATAGAATATATACACAATTATATTCGAAATAAATAATTTATTTCTTCACCCTGAATTATAATCTTATTATTATGCTTCATCACATTCTTCTATGTGCCAAATTATTTCTAGAATTTCTCTTAATCAATTATTATTTTAAAATTCCAAATTTGCTTGGCTAGTCAGTATAACACGGCATCTAAAACTTGAATATATATGTATTAGCATAATGAATGTTTCCCAAACAGAAAATAAAATTGAGCACAATATAAAATTTTGCTTATTTTTTAAATTCTGCATTCACTTAAAAACGAAATGTACTGATGACTTATTTGCATTAAAGTTTTTTGAATCTCGATGATTTCAAGAAATTTGAAAAATAATTCGTTACATCCGTAATTTTTAAATTACAATATATTTTACACTTGACATCACATGTAGATATAAAATTGCTTATTCATCACAGCAACCGCAGCACCAGAAAATGCAGAATAGGCAGTCACAAATATCCCACCGATACCGCCCTCCTCCTCCTTCTTATCTTTCTTCTTCTTCTTCTTTTTATCTTTCTTTTCTTCTTGAGGTGGTGGATATTGGCCAGGTGGATATTGGCCTGGTGGGTATTGACCCGGAGGATATTGACCAGGTGGTGGAATTGCATACTGACCTGGTGGATATTGACCAGGTGGCGGTGGTGGATATTGGCCAGGTGGCGGGTATTGTCCTGGTGGTGGTGGTGCATATTGACCAGCCTGTTGAGGTGGTGGTGGTGGAGGCTGGTAATTTGCTTGCGGTGCATTAGCAGGTTGACCGTTTGCAGGTGGTACTTGATATGGATACTGAGCTGGGGCATCATATGGAGCTGGGCTACCTTGAGAAGGCGGTGGTGGAGGTGGAGAATCCGTCATTGTGAAATTCTGATAGTTAATAAAGTTCAGAAATTTTTAAAATGTCTTAAAAATATTACAATTGAAGTATGAACTTTTGTGATAATTTATAACAAAAAAAAAAAAAAAAAAAAAAAAGGTAGTGGGGCTTCCAGGGGCTGCGCCCCTTCTAGCCCCGAAGATGTTTAGTATAAATGAAGTTTTTATTCGGAAAATTGTTAGTCTTCTGGTGTGAATTCGGAGGACTCTTCTTCTTCCTCCTCCTCTTCTTCCTCTTCTTCGTCATCGTCGGCGTAGTGGAGGAGGACGTAGTTCATCCAAATTCTGTATGGACGTCCTGATTTGGATTTAAATGAGATGGACATATTTTGTGTGAGTGTTATTTCAGTTTCGATAAAGAGTTGGTGTGCTGGTTTGAATATATGTTCGACGTTGGAGAATTTGTGCAACTCATCTTCTCCCAATTCTGTATTGATACAGACTTCGATGAAGTCACCACTGAGAATGTCTTCACCTGTGGGCATATCCACAACAATTAAATGAACGACACAATAGTTGTGAAATTCATTAGTAGGAAATACTGTTGCAGGCGTATTATATGAGGGGAAAAATGTTTTTTCTTCCCCAAATTCATCTGCTACTTCATCTTCATCGTATCCGTTGTTAAAAGCTTTAAATTCATGTACAATTTGAGCAAATTGTTGACGGAGATTTGGTGGCATACGTAAGCAAGCTTGTAACAATGTCCTACCTTCCACACACTCAGCAAATATGGGAAGGTAGGAACATATAATGTCCGTCAATTGGTCCTGGTTGGGGACCAATTGACAGAGTTTTGTGTATGCCGTTATTGTTTCTTTAACGGTATTTGTGTAGATACGGTTATATGGAGTATTTCCCTGGTTGTTAAGGGAAAAATACTCATCCGATTGTAATTTCAATCTTGACCTCAACTCTTTGTTCGGTATTCTTTGGTCTATTCTTAGAGCTGTATTTGTTCGTGCGGGCTGTGGTTTTAAAACATTCGAGTCAAGTTTTAATTGCTTCGAATTGGATGTCGATTTGAATTGGGAGTCTTTTGAGTTCTCCTGAGCTTGGTTCTGTATTAAAGACTGAATAGCAGTGTCAGCTTCTTGTTTTTCGAGATAGTATTCTATTGAATTGGGCTTCACTGTTCGAGACGCGTACATTATGAAAAATGAACTGTTTTTTTCGGACCACTCATAGAAAAGTTTGAGATGAACCGTTTTCGTCAACGGTAACCCCCTCTATTTTTTTATTTTATTTAATAGTTACCGTTGGAAAACCGTTCCATCTCAAATATTGAATGAACTATAAACGTTTTTTGTTTTCTATATATGCTTTTTTGTCCAACGGTAAAACTTTTTGCACAACGGTTTTTGAGAGTCATCGCCGTTGACCGAGTAGTTTTTTGTGCTGAACAAAAAGTGTCATATAAACATCTGTCAAAAACCGTTTTTTACTTCACTTAAAATGCCACGTAAGCTACGTAAGAATATACGTAAGAGGAAGAGAGCATTGAAACATCCAATAGTAAAACTGACACCACAACAACAGTTGCAACAACAAATTATGAATGACCCCACTATGTTGCAACAAATGTCAAGCAACCCTATGCTTTTAAACCGAGTTATTGGTGCACAGAGTGGAGGTTTAAGAGCGGCACTTTTAGCGAAAATGGCAGGCTATGGTGGAGCTGCAGACGGAACAGCTATAACCCTCAAAGTCAAATGAATTTGAGTTCACTCAAAAATCAAATAACAGATGTCAAAAAGTCAAACATAGACATACAGAAACAAATAAGTGAAAACGAAAAGAAACTAGAATATGACAGACACACAAAGAAACTCAATGAGTTAAACGTAGAGAAAAAGAAGAAAGAAGAACAACTGAAAGAACTAAGTACAGAGGAATATGCGAAAAAAGTGTCAGAAAAAGCAGCAGAAGTAGCAAAAATGGAAAAAGGTGTTTAAATTTGAAAAACCATACTACTCAATATAAAGTACTGAAAGATGAAGAGATAAAACAAAAAGCCCTGAAGACATATATGGATAGCGATGAGTATAAAAAAGAAGTTGAAGCAAATGTAAAGGCAGAAAAACTTTTACAGTTGCAAAACCAAACCGTACAGTATGAAAACTTAGCACAAGAAAGTAAAAATAACGACGCAGCCATGCAAAAGGCAATGAAAAGCGCAGAATATATAAAAGCTAACAATGACTGGTTAGATGCCCAAGCCAACGCTAAAGCAGCCCAACTTATAGGGTCAATAAGGACAAAAATACAAGCGGATGAAGACAGTTCAAATGAAGCTTTAACAAATGCTGACTTTAAGAACGCCTTCGAAGCTCTTCATAGTAAGGTGAAACTAGTGAACGACTTCTCATCTGGAAAGAAACTGAAGTCTGAAGGTTTCGACAAAGAGTTAAGAGAAGTAGCACAAAATATGACGAAAATAACAGATGCAGCAACGAGACAGGCAGTTCAAAGTGCCTATGACGCCGTTAGAGCAACTGTTGTGGAAAGTCAAGAAAAAGAGTTACAACAGACCAAAACAGACCTAGTAAATGCTTTCTTAAAACGAAAAGTCAGGTAGGACATTACGCTGCAGATGGAACATATGTGCCAGCTGGTGGAACTTATATACCACCAAACCCTCCAAGAGAAGCACCTGCACCAGGACTACCTAAAACATTTACATCGTCACATGGACACAGACACAGGCATGCACAAAACCAACACAACAACCAACCAACCAGCACAACAACCACCTCCACAACCAGCACAACAACCAACACAACAACCAGCACAACAACCAACAGTTCAAAACCTGCACAACAACAACCACAAACAGAGCAAGGACATAAAAGAAGTAGAGAACAAGGAAACCAAGAATTCTTAAAAATGCTTAAAGAAGAGTGTGGTTTCCCAGATACTATTGACTTTAGTGACAGATATAAAGAAGCTATTGAAAGTTCAAGGATGGAAATACTGACCCGAACCTATTTAGCTTTATGGCTCAGCACCAAAACGGATATAATCTCAAACCTGGAAAATACAAGCTCGCTAAGGGATATGATTTAATAGCATATCATCCAAATGACATGGATGAATTTACTCCGAGATATTTGATGTCAGAGCTAAATGACAATTCAACTTTCGTCATGAAACGCGTAAAAAATAGAGACGGAACGAAAGAACAAAAGCTTATGAATGCGGATGACGTAGATAGGGAAATTGTTGAAAACGGTCTCGGAATATATGAAATGCCAGCAGATGAGGTACAAGAAACTCCACAGGAAGAAGTTCAGATACAACCAGACATGGAAGAAATAGTTCAGCAACAACAGCTAGAAGAGCCTGAAGGAAACGAACAAGTCCTCCTTTGGAAACTAACTTCACAGAACTAGATGAAGATTTGGAACAGCCGAAAAATCTTGACCCTCAACAAGAGTATGCGGAGAATATGGAATATTTCCAAGAGTCTAAAAAAAATTCGGCTGACATAGTAGAAGAATATCGAAAAATGTTTGCCGACATACAAAAGACTCCAACACCAGATGAAAATATTCAGCATAGAATGGAAGTACTGAAAGAAAATGTACACAAATACAACAACCCTTTTTACTTACGAGCATTTAACGTTCAATCTTCGGATGAACTCGGTGAAAATAAAAGGTTAAATTTCAAGAAAACATATAGAAATGAAACATTGTTTAAAGTTCATTCAGAACCTAACCAAGATGGAAACAAACCTACTTTTGTTTCTGCAGACGATGGAACTACAATGAGATGGGGTCATAAAGCTAACCGGATAGGTGGTTCATAAACTTACAACCTCAATTCCAAGAAGTTGTAGACGCAATGGAAGTCAATGGTGAACCAGATATAGCTGGTATTTTAAGCGCGGCTTTAATGCCATTGAAAGATATGAAACATGCAGATATTTTGGACCAGTATGAAATGAACATGGCTGATGGAAATATAACACCTGACGTTCTAGAACATTTATCTCAAAGAACTACACAGAACCATAGAGATGGTATATTTGGTGAAGAGTTTAGAAAGAAAGTTAGGGACAGAGAAGGAAGAGAACCTATTGTACATGACCTTGCAAACGAAAGTTTACAAAATGTCATAAAAACTTACTTTGCAGACAATGAACCGAGAAGGGATGAATATTTAAGAAAACTCAAATGGACAGTACCAAATGAAATGTTAGTATTGAAAAACATGTTCCTTGACAAAATAAAACCAACTACAGAAATAAACGACGCAAGACTGAAAGATTGGGTAAAAGCTTTCCCATTCACAAAAGATATAGTTGGTAACATGGAAAGAAAACCAGAATGGCTACAAAAACATATATTTGGAAACGAGCATATTCCATATGGACAGGCACTGTTTGAAGAGCTTGAACCGGAAACTCAGGAAAGAGTCATGCAAACAATACGCGAAGACTCAAATACAGACTATGACAAACTCTTTCTAGGATATAGGTTACCTGAGATGGGCGACCAGAGCCAAAAGGCAAAAAGGACATGGAAATTTGCAACATACTAGATGAACATAAAAAGATGCAACAACTTCAAGCAGAGGGCAATGAAGGAAAAAGAAGAGTTAAAAACTCAGTCAGGAAGAAAGTAAAGCTTGGTCCACGTGGGTTCTATTATGACATATAAATCCAACTATTCTATATTTTTACTCATATGAAATGTACGCCGCTCAGAATATAACGCCAACAGTTTTGGATGCTATGAATGGAAATGTTTCCGAATGGTATAACGAATGCGACAATGCCATTAGAAGGTCAGAAATAGTTCCTGGAACTTACGAATATACAACTGCTGTTTCTTATGGAAACGTAGGTGAGTTTGGAGAAGGTTCTTCAACAACAGTAGATATTGCTTGCGACAGGTTTCATATAATTTCTATTGACAACTCTTTCTTATACGTGGAACAAGACATTGAAATAAAACCTTCTGCCAAGTTGTCTGACAAGAAAGGTTGCAATGGAATTTTCTATGTCGGATACCAATATGCTCCAGAAGTTTTCATGGGATATAAGATATATTCTAACTCTGACTTAGTTCAAACAGTAACATGGGCAAACTATGAATGGTTCGCTTTGAGAAACTCAGTACAACCACAAGCTAGAGAACAAACAGACCAGTATGCAACTATTGAGAAAATAAGAAGACTTGACCCTAACGTTCCAGGAGTTTATGTTAACCTTTCTGGACAAACTGCAGCAGCAGTAACCAAAGTAAAACTGAAACTTAGAGTTCCTTTGTCATCTTTCCTCATCTTCAGGTTTTTAAGATACTTGCCAAACTGGGCAGGAAAAATTTCTATCGAACTTACTCCAAGCAAAAATAACTTAGTCATTGCACCAACACAAGACCCATTCACTCTTACAGAAGTAGTGGGAACAAATAAAATGTCATTCGCCGACTTTTGCAAAACAAAGTTGACTTAGACTTTGGTTTCTCAAACCTCAACACTGAAGTAAACTATTATTTCAATGCTGCTGGAGATGCTTGGGACCCAGTTAAGTTCACATGCGAAAAATTTGAATGCAAGAGAATAGAAAGCAGACTTGCAGTCTATATGTTGGACCCAGATATTTCAAATGCTTTAGCTGCCAAATATATTGCAGTTCCACTTATGTTCCCTATACACCAAATATCTGTCAAAGACTTTGCAGGTGAAGTTGGAAACCAAAGTGCTGACCCAGGTGCAAGAACAGATATTGCTTTAACAACTGCAATGAAACATGCAGATACTATGTTTGTACTGTTCAGACGAACTATAAATGACTATTCTTGTTTCTACAACCCTGGTATTAAATATCATATAAACATAGATGGCAAATATTATCCAAGAGAAGAATATTCTACAGTTGAGGATATGAGGTCATACAACTTGACATTAGATGCTATGAACTTTAACAACAACTTCACAACAACCATTAACCCTGAAATGCAAAGTTCTATTATGCCATATGTGAAAGTATGGACTCATACAGGAGGTCAAAAAACTCAATATACAAATGGAGACCGTTCAAACTTTTGGCTTGGCATTCCATTTGCTGACTCAGAAGACTTTATGGGTGGTATTTCAACTGTTGGTACAGTTCAAATACAATATACTGGTGACAGAGACGGTCCAGATGAATTGAGAGCAAAGAAGTTTACAAAACCAATAGCACTTTTCACGGAAGATGCTCTTTTGAAGATTCGTTCGATGAAACCTGCTGGGGCTCCTCAGATTGGCATAACGACAGCTTCCATCGAGCAGATTTTGGCAGCAGGTCAGTAAGTTGTTCTTGAACTGACTTCTCTCCGTCAAATATTGACAGTACGCCAGTTTTGACATAATATTGTATTATAAACTTACCTTTAGAAATATCGGTCAGTTTTGTTGTTATATTTTTGTCTGCTTCAAGAACTTTCACCATTTCAGTTATACCAACTTTCTTTGCTTTATGAAAATATTTTGGTTCAGCAAAGACTGCTATTCTATAACATTTTCCATTGTTTGTGTAAAGAACTATTCTGTCAATGAACTTGTATTGTTTGTGTGTGTAAACTTTGTTCTGCTTCAATTCGAAGAGATACTCAAATACGTCCATCTTTTTATTCTAAGTAAAATGTCATTTCCGAAAAATAGAAGCGTAAGTGTTTCAAAAGGTTTAATGGCGGTGGCAGATGTGAAGTTAAATTCACCAACTCAAACAAACAGTCAAAGTGTTGTTGTCAATGTCAAAGACAGAGATGTTGAAGTGGGGAAACCATACGAAGACGAAGATGGTATAACAATAGTTCCTGTAAAAGAACAACCAACATATCCTGAAGTTAGCAGAGACTTAAGTTCTGTTGCAGATATTCGAAACGACTACCAACAACTTAAAGACAAACTTAAAACTCAGGAGAAGATTTGTCAAGCTTTGGGTATAATGTTAAACTTGGTCGAACACAACCCTGTAAAAGTGAACTCATATGTCATTGCACCTCATGAAGTTTTGAAAGAACTATTGAAACTTTTGACAGAGGCAGACGATATAAACATCAAAGAAATAGAACCCGACATTGCTTGCTGTGGTGTTTCATATAATGTCATTGACAAGATATACGTTATGAAAGGAGGTGAAACGTTGAACTTAAAATATAGTTTCCCAGACGTCATAAAAATATTTGACGACCACAACATTTCATTAAAATTTATTTGCTAAGTAAATGGCAGAAGACATAGTGGTTTATACTATTACGACTAAAAACCCTGAGTCATATAATTCTATAACAACAAACTTACAAAGTCCTCAAGGACGATATTGTAAACTAACCTTAAACACAATGACGACTAAAGCCTGTTTTGCTCTTTTGACACCAGAAGACTTTATTGTTGTGAATGGTAAAAAATACTCTTTGAAGATACTTACTCAGATATACCACCAACAGGTTTTGTTGACTTATTTAATACTTTAAGGACGGATGTAACATGTGCTGCAACTAGAGCAGGTTTCATTATGTTTGGATGTCCGACTGAGTTTACTATAAACGATATGAGCTATAATACAAAACTTATATCTGGTTTTTACTACCAACAGTTTCCTATAACAGGAAAAGGTGTCATACAAGGTCTATCTGTTCCATTGACTTTAAGCACACCTATTTATATATTGTTTCAAACTTAGGTTCAAAGTGTTATTCGAATGTCGACAGAAACTATTATGACCAAAAGATACTCATGCGTATAAACAACACTTTCTCTGCTGGTTTGCCTATTGTTCATTCGAATGCAGTTTTCAAGCTTAGTGAACTCAAACACTTTAGCAAACATAAACTTAACTTAGTTGACGCAAACTTTGTTCCTGTAAAACTTTTATGTCCTATGTATTTGTCAATGACGGCAGAAAGTTTCGAATTGGAAGATGCAACTGGTGAAAGTATTGTATTACAAGAACAACTTCAACAACAAATAGCTCAAGAACAACAAATGCAACAACAAAGTCAAGAATAAAAAAAATATTTTTTTATTTTTATAAAAATGTACAGAATAGATGTTTCAGATTTTTATGACTTCCAAGCTTCAGAAATATGTGTCCATTTAGAGACTATAACAAAGCAGTCGAGAATTTGAAACGTTTAGTCATTTATGTCGACTCTGCCCAGAATGTTATGTCATGAAAGAATGGGATGTTGTCTTTAACAAACCAAGAGCGACAATAGTTTCAGAACAAGAATGTAGACAGAAACTTAAGAAAATAAAAGTTGTACAAGTTGGAATGAAGATGTTAGATGCTTGGGATATCTTATTGTCAAAGTTAGAAGATTTTTCAGTTCGAGGTATAAAGTTCTATACACCTTCTCCAAACTTCTATTCTATCTTCACTGGATATAAATACGAACAAGTAGAATGGAAAGAAAATATTATAGAAGCTTGGTTAGACCATGTCAAAGAAATTATATGCAATGGAAACGAAAAGAGTCTATGAGTATATCTTATGTTGGTTTGCAAACATCTTACAACATCCAAGTGCTAAAAATGAAACTGCTCTCATTATAATTGGAAAACAAGGAACAGGTAAGAACACTTTCTTTACAGATATTTTGTGCAAACTGTTAGAGGTTATTCGAACCCTAATATGACAAACTTAGAAAACATCTGCGGTAAATTTAACTCTTCAATAGAGAATATGAAACTTATAGTTTGCAATGAACTTCAAAGTATAGATACAACAAAAGTTTTAAACTCAGATGCTTTGAAGAGTCTTATAACAGACAAAGTTGGAGTTGTTGAAAGAAAGTATAAAGACCAAAGAGTTTGTGAAAATGTTGCAAACTTCATTATGGTTTCAAACAATGCGTTCCGATGAAGTTAGAAAGTTCTGACAGAAGATATGTAGTTGTCAGAACGTCAGATTCTCATATGCAAGATACAGAATATTTTGACGACTTAGCAGAAACTTTGACATCTGACTTTTACAACCACTTGTTCTCATATTTTCATGACATTAGATATTTCTAAGTTCAATCCAAGACAAATTCCACATACCGAAGAGAGACAAACATTGTTAGAAGCAAACAAGAGTGTATATGAACTGTTTATAGATGAGACTAACTTTGAGTGTTTAGATGAAAGGTCATTGTACGATCGTATAAACAATATTGTCAAGAATATGGTTATATGGCAGCGTCTAAACGAACATTCTTGGCAAATGTCAAAAGTCTTTTAGATGTTCAGAACGGCGTATATACAAAGAAAAATTTTTCTGAGTAAATTTAAAAAAAAATATTTTTTTATCCGATAGAAAAGATGAACAGAAAAATTAACTTTTTACATAGCGCCAGACCCTTCTTGCCCACATCTTTTTAAGCCACAATATATAGACATAGAACTAAATAGAGAAAGCGAAATTCTACAAACAGAAGAAACATATAGAGACCTAGATAACGAAAATGGATATGCGCTATTCTGGTTAGATTGTCCTTATGAAATGTATGAAAAAAAGGCTTTATATGAAGAATATAGAAAATATTGTCATGAAAACGATATAAGACCAAGCTCTAGAGAAAAATTCTATGCTGGTATAAAACATCTTTTCGAAGTTCGGAATGGCAAATATAGAAAGAAATAATTTTTCTGAGTAAATTTTAAAAAAAAATATTTTTTTATCCGATAGAAAAGATGGCAAAATTCATCTCAGTAAATAAGTACATGACAGGAAGTCAAAGATAAGTTAGCTCCATTCGCATATTTGAATGTTTACTTCTATAATTTTGAAAAGTCTACATTTGACAAAATTTGGAACATTGCACCAGTTAAGTTTGCTGTTGTTAGAAAAAGTGGTGCAACTTTTTGAAGACTTATACATTGACGGTATGTTGACAGTCAAAGAAAATTTTGACAGAAAGTTCTCAAAACTTCGAAGAAGGTAAAGCATACAAACTTGTTATACCTTATGAACCAAAGAAAGCAGACGACTATGAATATTATGAGTCTAAGATAGTTGAAGTTCAAGGTAAATTGGGTAAAAAGATTTTAGAGTCTAAGCCAGTGTTTGCCCCTAAAGAGGAAGAGAACATTGACATTGACCCAGAAATGTTCTAAAAATAAAATTTTATTTTACATGTCAAATTTCTTTTTCTCTGGAACTGGTTCAGGTTCTTTCTTCTCTTCTACTTTCTTTTCTTTCTTTTCTTTCTTTTCTCTCTTCTTCTTCTTTTCTGGTGGAGTTATGTCAAATTTCTCAGAACCATATTTATGTAAAAGTTCTTTGTCCTTTAATAGCTCTTCTATTCTGTTTTCTATTTCATCTTCAAGAACAGCGCATGTGCCTTCTTTTGCATTCTAAGAACTTTTGTTGGACTTCATCTTTCCAATCGGCGTCATCTCTGTCAACAAGTCTGTCATTGACAAATTTTAAGACTGCTCTTTGTAATGTTTTATGGTTCTTGTCATATTCCCAGAAACAGAACTTTAGAACAAATTCACTTTCTTGTTTACACTATGTAAGATTTTATGGTCGACAGATGTTTTGCTGTCGAAAAGTTTGTCTCGAATATAGATAGCGAAATCGCTAGACATTTTCAAAAAGATAAAAATTTTAATTTTTCTAAAAATATGTTAGAAAAAAGTTTGCTGACATTGACAAAAAATTTAGAATGTTTTAAACAAGAACAAGAGGAAGTTAGAAAATGCTCAGATAAAACCCATACATGAAAAGTTCTTATTTGCTCAGAATGGTATAACAGGTCTAATCGCACCACCTGGGTCGGGTAAGACTTTCACTTATCTTAAAATGGCTGCACAACAACAAGAACTAGATGAGAAGAACCCATTCTATGAGTTAGTTGTTATTTGTAGTACTTCTGGTCAATTTGACCAAACCGTCAATTCGTTCAAAGATATTATAAAGAAGTCTAAGTTAGTATGTATAAAGGATACTGAGTTGTTAGATTGGATAAAGAAGTACCAAAGAAGAGTTTTGAAGTATAATGCTATAAATGAGTATATAAATTCTAAGTTTAAAGACCCAAATGAGGAAATGCAGAGAATATTAGAGAAGAAACACTTCAGAAACAAACAGAAAGAGATAGAATACATTTCGAAGAAATTGCAATCGTACGATTGGAAGACTTCCCTACAGATGTCTTCTTATCTTAGATGACTTTGCTTCTCATCCTTTGTTAAAGAACAGAGAACAAGTATGTCGAATTCTTAAGAAGCTCAGACACTTTAACATCTCAGTCGTAATATGTGTACAGACAGCAAAGAGTTTAAGTAAGGATGTTAAAAGTACTTACTGACATTATACTTTTCCCCGGATTGTCCGAAGACGATTTCATGGAACTTATGAAAGAGTCCATGGCAGGTAAGTTTGACAGACATGAACTATGGGAGAAGTACAAAGTCATACAAGACCTCATACTTCTTTCAGAATTCATATCTACGCAACAAAGTTCAAATTGTAAAAAGTCAAGCGTAAAAAATAAAGAGTTTTGGCGACTGCGTTTTTTTCATTACTCGCTGTTCTTCACGATTTTCCGAGGGAAGCAAGCATATGAGGAAACTCATGAAATTTCATACGGAATTCAGCAAAAATAATGTTTATGTTAGAATGTTAGATCTAACATGTTTTCTAACAATGTTTTCTAACATGGTCTAAACATACAAAACTCATGAAATTTCATACGGAATTCAGCAAAAATAATGTTTATGTTAGAATGTTAGATCTAACATGTTTTCTAACATGTTTTCTAACATAACTATTTACAAGCGTTTTACATGGTATATGTTGCGATGGTCATGACTCTAAACAATTTCGTAGCTTCTATTTCTTCTTTTAGTACATCGAATGTTTTAACACATGCCGAAGGTTTCTTTATATTTCTTCTTGACGTCAGATAGAAGGAAATCGTCAGCAGTTGGATAGTTTTTGTTCAGAAATGCTAACATGTCATTTTATCTTCTGCTGGTTTTTCTGCTTCTTTCTTTAAATCTGCATAGTCGTTTCGCATACGTTCTATCTCTTTGACGGAGTAGTTATATTTCCTCATTGCTGCTTTACATTTTGAACATTGCGGGTTCATTTTTGCGTTATATTCTGAAACCTTACCCTAAAACAACCAAGGCGTCAATGGTTTTCTTCATCTCGAAACATAGCGGGTCTTATTTGTTCGTTCCATACCTTACCCCTACTATCTTTATCTCTTATTCTCCAAACACATTTTGCAACTAATGAAACAAAGTTGTCGTAGGTCTTAAATTCTTCGGATTTGTAAAGGTCAGAGAATGTTCTTATATACCATGTCGCAACTCTTTGTCCATAACCTTATGGTTGCAATGAAAACCAAGGAATTCATAATTTACCTTTTCGTATGAACTTTCTTTATTTCTACTGAGTCAGTTGCTTTGACTTCTATTTCGTCAAATTCGGGAATGGTTAGTTTTTGTTGTTGGATTTCAGGCAATTTGGGTAAATGGTCAATAATGTCCTGCATTTCATAAAGATACTGTTCATTTGTTTCATCTTTCGCACTACAGTCTAAATTACTTGTTAAAAGTTCTTGCTTTATCTTCTGGATTTTTGTTTCGAAAGTATATGAAGAAGAATGAAGTTTTTCATCTCTACTAACATAGATGTTGGATTCATAACTAGCGAGTTTGGTGCTGTAGTTGTTTGAATTGTTGTTGTGCCGATTGTTGAAATCATGTCTTTTTACAAATACAAAATAATAAAAAAAATAAATAAAATAAAAAATAAAAACTAACTTTATTTTTTATTTCGGAAAATTCATGAAATTTCAAAGAGTTTTAGACCATGTTAGAAAACGTGTTAGAAAACATGTTAGATCTAACATTCTAACATAAACATTATTTTTGGTGTAAATTTCATGAAAATTCAAGAGTTTTAGACCATGTTAGAAAACGTGTTAGAAAACATGTTAGATTCTAACATTCTAACATAAACATTATTTTTGCTGAATTCAGCAAACAAAATTCAAATTGTAAAAAGTCAAGCTTGAAAAATGTAAGTGTTTAGTCTTAGTAAGATGGTAGCTTCTTAAAGCAAATACCATTGCTGAGTTTTATGTACGTGAAGAGAAGTAAATGAATTCAATTACGAGTACAATTGCAATGACAACTAAGGCAACTATTTTTGTCTTTTGCCAGCAAGGGTACTTCTTCTCTTCCAATTGGTTCGGCAGAACTATACTTCACTCATGAGAAAATGCCAAAACGGTTTAATAGAAAAAGTGTCATTTTCATTGTCCGAAGACTCGAAGGTGCAACACTTCCAAAATACCGACGAACTCAGAAGAGCAGCATGGCAGTATCTTCTTGACAACTCTTTGAGTTCTCCAGGTACACCTTGGAAAATGCTGAAGAACTCCGACACAGAGAATTTGGAGAAATTGCACTCCAATACTAAACTTGACAAACAAAGGGTAAACAAAGGGTAAAATAAGACTAAAAACTTAACGTTTAAAAAGTGACATTTTTTTATGAGCTCCGAGTCACCGAGAAAACTTGGTCAGATGTTAGCAGCTTACTTCCCCCGAGGAGGATGGAAGCGTTACATACATCAGGTTCAAAAAAACAACGAACCTGGAATTGCGTACAAAATTCGCAATTACATGACCATGGAAGAGTACGAAAGGTTCCTACAAGAGAAACCAGCTCTAAACAACTCAGAAAAGAAAGAATAAAAAGTTTAACTCGTAATTGTTTATTTTTTTACTTGTATGGGCAAGCTGCAAGAATGAAGTCGACTATCTCAGTCTTTGTCTTGACCAGTTGGACTGCTCTTGCGAGTACGTCTGTTTTGCGGTCTCCAGCTGGTGTCTGACCTTCGTAATTGCGCATGTTCTTGAGAGCTCCAACTGTAAATGATTGTAGGATGAAGAGTCTCTCAGACTGCTTGAGGTAGTCTTCACGGTCACGAACCGAATCTGTGGTACGAGTCGAATCGGTCGATTTGAGGGAAGAGACTGAAAGCCTGTCGTCTTCCATAGGGGCTGTGGCATAATCTTTGCGTAAGCGGTTCAGACCTTCTTCGAACTCTTGGTCTCTCTTCGATTTGGATTGAGATTGGAATTGCTGGGGTGGAGCTTGTTGGAACATCCAAGGGTTGGGGAAGTAAGGCATAGGCTGAGGAGGAGGGTAGTTCGGGAAGCCTTGTGGTAGGTAGTAAACCTTGAGGTGGAAATTGGTAAGTAATTTGGTGGAGGGACTTGCTGGAACTGAGGTTGCTGAGGTGCAGGGGCTGGTGCTTTAGGTTCCTCTGGTTTGGGAATGGGCTCGGTTGGTGGTACGTCGGACATCTGTTTGTGGCTTAACCGTCGGAAGGAAAAACCTTTCCTGTTGGAAGGAAAAACTTTTCCTGTTGGAAGGAAAAACCTTTCCTGTTGGAAGGAAAAACTTTCCTGTCGGAAGGAAAAACTTTTTCTGTCGGAAGGAAAAACTTTTCTGAAGTTCGACCAAAAAGTTCTCAATTTTCGAAAATTTGAATGGTTTACGGACGGACAACTGGAAGAGTTCTTCCTGTCGTCGGGAAAATTTTTTCCAGTTGTCGGGAAAATTTTTTCCAGTTGTCGGGAAAATATTTTCCTGTCGGATGGAAGGACTCGGAATGCCAGAAGGATTTGACGAGGCAATTTACCTTATAGAGATAAATGAAGTTGTTAAGCAGTACTTGCGCAGGGTAATGAAGCCCAAGGTCAAGTTCACCAGTATTTCTGGAAGGTCTACACTTCAGCTCGAGACTTCGACTGGAATTCCAATTCAAATACCAGACGGGACAGCCTACGACGACATAAAGGACGCCAAAAGAGAAGCTCTTGTTAAGTTCCTAAACAAACGTCCTTGGATAAAAATACCAAACAAGGAGAACCCCCTACCCCATATGAAATTGGCAATTCAGTCTCTCCTTCACTTCTCGGGTCAGCCGTTCTACATAACCTGTGAAGGCGACATCCAACCAGTTCAGTCAACCTTAACGTTTTGAGTAAAAACATTTTTTTTCATTTTTTGAATGAAGCAAGTTAAATTCGTCCCACACCAATCTCAATGGACCGATGAAGAGTTTCAAGCCATGGTTGAAGGCGTTGAGAACGACATAGACGGCGAACTTGAAGGAGCTCAAACCACAATTGCAACCAAAATTGCACAAGTCAAGGAACAGATAGCTCCACTTAAAGCTACCAAAGCTACTCTTGACCTCATGGATACTTACCGTTTAGAAGTAAAGAGTGGAATAAGACAATTAAAATTAAAACTTCTAAACTACGAAGCTATACTCCAAAAGTTAGCAGAAATGAGAAGACTTTACCAGAGCTACTTACATGTAAGGGACTTACCTTCAAGCAGTCCGACCAAAGATGAATTTTCTGACATTGTCCCAATTTTGTCCGAAAGTCAGCTCAGATGTTTTGAACTGCTCCCAACATATCCAGAATATGAACGTTTGCCTGAACTCTTCCGCAATCTCAAAAAACGTTTTTTGGTTCTCATGTTCGAAACTTTTATCGGAAGAGACAACAAACGTTCAGAAGAAGAACAAGATATTATTTTAAACTTGTTGTATGACATAACTGTCATAACAAGCTTTTTGAAGTAAAACCGTCATTCTCAAACCACTTCATTTTTTCGATGTCCGAACAAGCACCGAAGCCGAACACAATGGCAGATGTCCTTTCAATGTTGCCAGACAAGCGCCCAGTTCAAATTCAAATTTTGAATTTGAAAGCTCATCTGACAAACACCGTTAAGACTCTCCAAAGTAGTCTTATGGAAGAGATGACCAAGCTCAAAGCCGATGTCCTCATGAACCAAGCTTCCAATGAGAAAGTCCTGAACGATTTGACGGAAACCTTGCGCATTTACGCGAGAGAGAACCGAGACCTTGCCAGACTCATCTACCGTTTCTTCGAAGAGATAGACGCCATCTGGAAGGTACTCGGAAAGGACAGAACATGCAACACCGTACTTCGTGAACACAGAATTGAAGAAGGAATTGTCGAGGAAGAAGAGGAAGAAGAGGAAGAAGAGGAAGAAGAAAGAACGAGAAGGAAGGAATTTGGGCAACCCTTGTTGCCGATGACGTTACGAAATTTCCCAACCCTACCCATACCAAATCCGCAACAAGGAGACAGGCAAGGTTCTTACCCCAGTCCTCAACAACTTGGGACACTTGAACCTTAACCTTCGGAATCGCGGTTCAATCTCCATGGGCAAGCTTGTCGCAATTCAATGGGTTCCAAATCCAACAAGAAGACGAAGGTCAGACACATTGACGGTGACAAGCTCAACAACCGTAAGGAGAACCTCGAGTGGTTCTAAGAGTAAAAAAATTTTATTTTAGGGGGAAACCCCAAGTAAATTTAGTGTTTTTTGTTGTAAGCGGCTTAAATTAATGAGAATTTGGACAAGTAGTTCCTGACCCTGAATTGGACTCTTTCGTCATCCCAGTTGCGTAGGAGGTCGTCCCAGAGGAGTTGGTAGAATTGCCAATCCAAGGACGATTTGTCCTCCCAGGCATTGAGGATGTACTGCTCGTAGAGTCTCATGACCTCTGCCTTGCACCAGACACCCTCTCCCTTGGAACGTAAGGCTTCTTCGAAGTGCTCGAATGCGATTGGCTGCGTGACCATCCGAAATGACACTTTTTGTCCGTTTGGTCAATGTTTGTGTCTCGTGCCATAGTCGACGAAAATACAGACAAACAGGTTATATATGAGTTTGAGACCAAGAATGGTGTAACTCGACCTGTCCGATTCAAATTCGAATAAAAATTTTTTATTTCATGCAATGTTTAACTATTTCACCATCTTCTTTAACACCCCAGTACTTCCTTTTCGATATTACATGAACTTCGGTGAAAATTTTGTCCAATTTGAATTGACCCATCTTTTCACCGACCATGCCCATTTCAATGAGTTTGTTGTACCTTCTTCGTTCGTCATGAGTGCGTCAATGTTCTCATAGTAAACCTTCACTTTGGATTTGACTTCGGAGAAGAATTTGTTGTAGTTGTCAAGGACTGCCTTTGCGAACTGAGGGTAAGACCAATGTTCGACAATAGGTTTTAATGTGGTTACTAAGCCACTTTGACCTTGAGTGAATTCGTACTTCAAAACAAAAGGAGAAAACCTTTCAACAAAGTTGTCGACCTTCTCATAATGTTTACTCTTCATCTCTTGAGGTTTCTTAATGGAATATCCCCATGTCGAATTCATAAGCAATTTGAGTGTCATTGCAAGTTTGGGGTTTGAAGCTTTCCTAATATCATACAGTTGTTGTATGACTTTTCCAACTGTATAGTTCCTTCCCGGGAACTCACCATCTTCGTTTGGAATTCCAGTCGGAATATATTGGACAAACCTCATGTATGCAGCGTTAAGGTCGACATAGTATATCTTTTCATCTGAGTCGAACTTGTCGCAACCAATTGGTCCAGTTTGTGGAAATTCAAGTGAGTCTCTTATCTTCTGAGAAACTTCTCCTGTTATCTCATAAACATCGTCGAAGCAACCTGTTTCATATAAAACCTTCTGACCTAACTCAGATGCTCTCCAATACAATTTGACGTCAATTGGATGTCTCAATGGAAGTTTGTTTATAGCATCTTGAAGTTCTTGCAACCTCATTGGAAGTTCTTCTGGTTCAGGTTGGTATCCGAACAATCCAACTCCTTTTGGAATTGTGTACTTCTTTTGTACTAGAACTTTGTCTGGAACAACTTTTGGTCTTGCTAACAATGAAAAGTTTGTTTCGTCTTTTGGTACAAAAGTTTCTGTCAGCTTGTCATCTGGAATTGGTTCCAACAAACCTTTCTCGAAAAGAATGTTTACAGCTCTGACAATGTTGCACTTGCCTTTTCCGAACAATGGGTTTGTAAGACTTTCGTTCAACATGAAGTGGTTGTGGACAATTACAATCTTCAACCATGGTAAGTCTTTGTCAACAACATAGTCGTCATGTGAAGAACCTTTAGCTGTAGGTATGTTGACTCGGATATTGACATTTGCCAACGGTGCAATTTTTGCCAATTGACCTCTGAGAATGTACCTTGTCTTCACACATGACTCAAGATACTTCATCTTCTCATCTGTAACAAGACCAGAGTTCCTGAGACATGTAAGAATACAAGGTTCATTGACAATTGTTTCAATTGAATTGTAAATTCCATACCTTGTCAAGTCAATGTCAGACTTATTTATGAACGGGAAGTATCCAGCATGTTGTCTGACTGCTTGAGGGTTAGGTTGGTACCATTCGAACTTGACACTTGCAATTCCTTCAATTGCATTCAAAATGTCTGAGTCGGAGTCAACCATTTGTTCTCTCTTTGTAGTCTTGAAAGCGTCAAGAAGCATTGCAGCTGTTGTGACATTGCCATGTGCATAGTAAATGTGACCATCCAAATCTGTTATGGTCAATCTGAGATTGTATCCTTTCTTATTTCCATCTTGAATTGCAGCAAGTACCCATGAAGCCTTCTTTGTTCTTTCCTTCGTCAAAGTTTACTGTAAAGGTTCGACCAGATGTAATTTGACTTCTAACTTCACGATACTTCTCATATGCATATCTTGTTCTTTCCATGGGAGCATGTCTCTTCACCTTTTCCTTTTTTCCTTCTCAAAGGATGCAATTGTTCGTCATGTTTCCAGTAGAATCTGGCAAAGCCGTCGTGTCCTTCAACTTGAGGTCTAACATCGAAAGGCATGTCCATAAGACGTTCTTCTTCTAACCTCTCTAGTCTGTTTGGATAATTTGCGCGCGCTGTTTCCAAGTCCATTTCGTAGCGAAGACCAGACAATTTGTCATAGACTTTTATGGGTCTTCCCTTCCTATATTTAAACTTCTTCGAAACTTTCCAACCATATCTTTCTAACTCTGCTTTTATTCTAGCAGATTTTCTATCCATTCTATATGGGGGCATTTTTATAAAAATAAAAAAATATTTTTTCTTTACTTTACATAACCCTGCTGCCATAAGTCTTTGACGCCAACCCATACCAGCTAATGAAGGTTGACTTGGTTTAGTTTGGAAACTAACTTTGGTTTTGGTTTATCTTCAGTTTTTGGTTCCCTTCTTCTATCGGTTTTTCGTCACTTTTCGGTTCCTCTGACTTTACCTCACTTGCAGGTATGGTTGTGTCGTCAACATCTTCATAAATATCATATGCCATTTGTTTTTGTTTTCCTTTCAACTTTTTGTGTTTGTTGTAAAGTTTAGAATATTTCGACTCTAAGTCAATGAGATGTTCTATAATGAACTGTTGGTCAGTGAAGTAAACTTTTCCATCTGTTGTCTCGAAAGCTCCTTCAGACTTCAATATTTTATTTGTGAGAGTCTGTTTCTTTTTTGAGATACTAGCCGTTCCATTTCTATGAAAAGTGACTTTATAGTTAGGGTTTGTATTTCCAGACCTGGCACTTTCTATTATTGAATTTTTCTCTTCATCTGTAAGTTCTTTGACAGGTTTTGACAATGGTTCTGAACTTTTTGTTTGTGGTGTCAAATCTACCGTTTCAACTTCTTCGGTCATTTCATCTCAGTAAAAAATTTTAGTTTGGTTTGTTTTCAACTGGTTGTTTAGTTGTTTTTTAAGTCGGTCTAAAACTTCCTGAGGTATAGGAAGAACTTGACAAACACGTTGTGTAACTGCTGGAAGCCGACAAATCCATCTTGAACCCATTTGTCTCAATGCTGTATTGTTCATTTCATCTCAGTAAAAAATTTACATTCCCCACGTTTGAGGCGGTTGAGGTTGGTTATTGTTTACCCACTGTTGTGCATGGTTATATCCTCTGTTAAAGAATCTTTCACCTTGGTCCATATAGTGTCCTGCTTGGTTATAGTAGTCATTTGCTTTGTTATAATAGTTTCCTGCTTGTCTTCCTACATTGTCCATCCATCCTTGAACTTTTCCTCTTGTTTCAGGATTTGGAATAAGATTTGCTGCATCTCGTGCTACATCCCAACCTTTCTGTACAGTTTGTATAATAGGTTGTGCTTTCTCTTTAAGTATACCTAATGTACTCAAAATCTTCCTTCCAATTCCAAATGCACCTCTGGCTATTGTTCCCACTGCGGGCAAAAATCTGGATGCAACTCCTGCTAATGCGCCAAATAAACCCATTTCTTATAGGGTAAAAAATGACGAATCCAAACAAGGACCCCTATGTTTCTAAAGCGACAAAGAAAGCACTCATGATAAAAATCTTTAGTTCAACACCAAATGCTTGGTTTATGGATATCTTGGAAAACATTCCGAGGTATAGAGAAGATGGACCTCCATACTGGCTAATATTTGTTGGTCAAAACACAAGATACTGTGAAGCCATACCATTATGGTCCAAAAATATTTTAGATGTGAAAACTGCTTTGACAATATTCGTTGACAAATACCATCCAACAAAACTGACATCTGACTGTGAAAGTTCTTTCAAATCAGACGATATTAAAAACTATCTGCGTTCAAAAAATGTAAACCAATATTTCATTGTCGACCAAAACCATTCTGCTCTTGGTGTCATTGACAGTTGTATAAAAATCTTAAGAGACTTAAACAACCACAAGGTGGTGAAGCAAATGAAATGTCATATGACGACAAATATAGACACTTCTCCATGGCAAAGATGAGACAAGTTTTAAATATTTACAATAGCCGTAAACAAAAAGGTTTGGGAAACCACTCCCCCGAAGAAATGAAAAACAACCCCGACTTAGAGAAAGACTATATATTTAATAGTTTAGTCAAAAGAGACAAACAAGAAAGAATGCCAGGCTTCAAACTTAAGAAAGGTGACAAAGTAAAAATAGAAATACCTAAACGCGACCCATATGAAAATACTATTGACTATGACAACAATGGGAACTCGACAGGTACTCACGTTCGTGTTCGTAAAAATAGAAGAAAGTATACAAGAGAATATTATGAAGTTTTAGGCAAACATGGCAAAATGTACAGACTGCAAGCAGAAGATAAAACTACTATTGTCAGACCTCGTTTCAAACTTGTCAAAGTTCAAGGTGGTATACTTTCAAAGACAGTTCCTAACAAATATAAGACAACTCCTGACGAATATGCTAAAGAAGTTGAAAATGACGACTAAGCAATTCTATACCATGCGTAAACTGTCATGTAAGGTGGCATGTATCTTTACTTTGTCCCGTTGTTTGTGTATATCCTGAAACGAAATGTGTATGGTTTCCTTCTCCCTGAGTGTCACTCCAGTAACAATTTATAGCAAACTTAACGTCGTCTTTAACATCATATCCTTTACCTTTTGTCATTCCTGACCAATCCCAATATCTATGCTTATGCCAACCTGCTTGAGATGTACTTAAATCTATGTAGTGACTGTGTGCAGGTAAATTTTCACCTGAAATCGTTTTACTTCCACCTGTTTCCTTTGAAGAGTTTGCACAATACAAAAACCTGTCGACTATTTGTTCCCATGCACCAACACCAAACATTACTTGAGGACCTCTTGCTTCCATAGATGTATAAATAGAACCTACTGGGTTCATTAAATCAAACATATGAGACATTACAGGATTGTCTCTTTTGAACTTAAAATATAGTGCAACTATTTCAGGTTTCTTCTGGTTTGTGTCAGAATATTTTTTATAATATAATCTTATGTTTTCAGGGTAGGTAAAGTCTTGACTATAATATTTATTTCTGTCATCTGTATAATAGTATACTATTCTCGTTTTTTCTATTGCATTATATCTTTTATATCTATAATAATCTAAATATAATGTTAGCTTTTGTTCATCTACATGTGGTGTTCTGACGTCATCTCCATAGTCATAATAATATGGTGCTGGAGCTGGGTCAGGCAATGTCATATCTGCCATTTCATAAACTCTTAAATATTTCTTTTGTTCGTCTCCATATAAGTTTAAGTAGCAGTTGTTGTCTAATGGAACTTTAACTTGTGTACCATCATTCTTTTTATAGCTTACATACATTTCATTGTTATTTTTCGGAATGAGTTTATACCGTATACCATTTTTAAGGATGTACAACTGCCATCTAAAATATTTATTTTCTTCATTGACAGAAAAGTCACCAACAATAGTTTCAATATTTTTTGTTCCAACTAAACTTTGGTATATTTCATTGACATATGTTTTATCTGCTTTCTTTTCAAGGCTAACGTTTAAGTCTGTTATTTCAGAAGATGTATGTGTATGTCCAACGGCACTTTTCCTGTTTAAGGTTTCTTGTAAGTCTGTTATTTCAGATATAGAATGTGTATGAGTCTTTTTTAGAATATTCGTTTTCAGCTCTTGTCACTTCACTTGACATTTTATTGTCAACATATGTTTTGTCTGCTAGTTCAGGATGAGTATGTTCTTTTGTTGCATAAGCATTGTTAGCTCTTTCTTTCTTTTGCTATTGCATCGTCTACATATTCTTTGTCAGCTTTGTTGTCAACATCTGTTTTTCAAAAGAAGTTCATTTATAGGTTTCTCGTTTAAAGTTCCTTTTGTTGGATTTATACAGACAGTATGGTTCTTATTGTCTTGAAACAGAAACTCATCTGTCATTGGGTTTAATGTCAGTTTTAAGTTTCCTTCTTTCAATGACTCAGATATCTTAGAATAGTTTGAAAAGTTTGTTGTGTTCTTATTTTAGAGCTTGCATAATGAGTTGTCGGTTGTGTTGTATTTCTCTCATAGACGCTGTTTCATTTGACATTTTTATTCTAGATAAAATATGCTTCCAATAGAAAAAGAAAATTCAAGAGTTGCTACAACTAAACCATTAGATGAACTTTTTACTAATGTCGGTCAAAAGTTTGAGACAGAGACCGTAAAGCATGAAGGCTATCGTTTTGACTACCATTAAGATGGCTAAGAGACCCATCTGTCACAAAAGCTATTGGCTTTCGTAGAATGAAGTTTGTGTCTGTAGAAGATAAAAGTTTTCCATTTATTGTAAGGTTTCATATAGATTATATATCTGAAGGGAAACGAAAAATGTGGGAAGAAATTGAGCTAATACAAGTTGACCTTTCATCTTCTCTACAGACTGCGTTAAAAAATATAGAAGATAAAATAAATTCATGTATGCAAAATTCTGATGAATATGCAAATACCGAGAGCACACTTTATGTGAGAATTGTATATGACAAACAAAATTCACAAGTGTCATTTCAAATCTACGGAAAGACCAAAGAAAGACGAACAAATATATACAGAATTCACTGCAATGTCATGGTATTATTTGCAAAGAATGTTAAATCAGAAAGTCAAACTTCCTTTAGCAAATATTTACAGTCGATATGCAAGAGATGAACCATATTTATTTAAAGATGTTTTCGACCATTATTGTTCATGCTTCATTTTCTGGCGCCCAAAACTCTTTCTTATGCTTGGCAAATGACTTTTACGAAAAACCTACAAAGTTATACGAACCACCAAGTGGAAGTATTTTCAGACTTTCAAGTATGGTTTACTACAGATGGAAGAAAAAGAATAATTCCATTATACCATGCGTTTTACTTAGAACTTAGTTTCACAACTACTACTATCGAACGATAAAAATATAATTTTTTAATACGGTTGAGGTGTTGGATTTGGTTGCCAACTAGACTGTGGTGCAGGTTCAGGCTGTTGTATAACAGGAGCTTGTTCTTCTGGTTCAGGGTCTTTAGGTATAATACCAACGAACTGACCTACTCTTTTACCAATATTTTTGACTCCGTTCCAAATTCCTCTTCCTACGGTTTTGACGCCATTCCATATACCTCTTCCAACTCTTCTGAAGAAGTTTCCTATCTTACTGAAGAAACCCATTTTACTATATGTAAAAATCTAATGTCCGCCTAGTCTCTTACGTTTCCTGTTGAGTTCCATAGCATTCTTTAACTGGAGCTCATACATTCTGTTTCTCCTCTGGTAGAAAACATATTCTGGGTCAACTCCTGTGTTCGCGTCATCTGCATAAAGTTGTTTATATCCCACTTCAGGGTTTGTATAAAACTCTTTCCATCTCATATTTGCATACCATGGTGGCAAACCTAACGCAGCGTCATTTGACATGGCAGTTTGCATTTGTACATCTGTTGGCACTTGACCATAGTTTGCCATTGCAGTTTGTATTCTAACTTCATTTGGAATATTCTCTGGGTTTGGTTGTCCAGGTTGCTGTGCATTCGCTAAGTTCTGTGCGTCCATTTAATATTAGATAAAAATATCTCTTACGAGTACATATACTGAACATTTGCAGGCATTGGTTCATCTTCATATTCTCTATATCTTTCTGCCACGTCAAATAAATAAATGACACAATGGAAAAAAATAAAACAAGTAGTCCTATTTCAAACCACATTTACTTACCAATAAAATTTCTTTATTGTGACACTTTCTCCAGTTTATAGGACCTCTCTCTATCTATCTTGTCATATCTAAACTCATAGTCATGTATGTCCTCTAACCATCTCATAACGGTTTCCAAACCACTTTTATCGGATGTAAAGTAAAAGCATGGATGGTTATGTAAAACGTCTAAAGTTTCTAAAGAGTCTCTCAAAGTCCAGTCTACTTGGTATTGAAAATCCCATGTGTTAAAGAACGGCGGGTCCACTATAAAGAAAACATTTTCCTTGTCTTTATATTTTTCATACAACTCTGTCCAATAACATCTCACAAACTCTATACCCTCAATATATTTTTCTATGTCCTCTTTGAAAACATTTGTATAGTTAAGATATAAAACTTTTGACATAAGTGTTTCAATGTCATGAACTCTTATAGAACCACTATATAATAGTCTAGCAGATATACTATCCCAGTCTATATATTCTGCTTTTTTCAAAACCTCTCTCACAATATTTTTCTTATCTAATGGTATACGTTCCATCTTACCTATAGGTATCTTTTCTTTTAACTCACTCAATATTTTGTTTGTGTCTGGAATATGTTTGAGACGGTCCATATAGTTGTCGAAGTCATTGCATATAATCTTTGAGTCTGGGAATATTGTATGGCACAAATGGGATATATAGAAACTTCCACCGAACAAATCTACAAATGTTAGACCATTCGGTAGTTTCTTAAGTTCTCTCAATATAATATCTTTACATTTACTCTTATTTCCAAAGAACGGTAACGGAGGTTTTGTAAAATTCATTTATATATAATAATAAAAATGTTTTCCCTGAAAAGTGACAGAAAAGTGACAAAACATGAAAACATATATAATTTGTGAAAAGTGAAACATTATATAATGTTTTCGACCCAGAAGAAGGCTTCTTCCCAGAAGCAATGGAGGAAGAAGAAGAGTCCTCCGAATTCACACCAGAAGACTAACAATTTTCCGAATAAAAACTTCATTTATACTAAACATCTTCGGGGCTAGAGGGCACGAAGTGCCTGGAAGCCCCACTACCTTTTTTTTTTTTTTTTTTTTTTTTTTAACAATGTAACAAATTTTTCAACGTCGTTTTTTGATTGAAATTTGCATTTAGTTTTTGAATTGAAACGATGTCAAAACAGAAAATAATAATCTTATTATCCATTTATCATTATCAACTACGTTTATTTTGAAACAAAAAAATTGACGATCAAATTTTTTCCCGATCAATAATAAAATCAATGGAAGTGATTCATTCAGATACACTATCAAATACGCCAGCCAACGCCGTTAAATTTTATAAATATCACTATCAACTTCTATAGGCGCATAAGCCATGGTATAAGACTAAAAATATTTTTAATGTCTTCAAACACACCAAACAACGCGGTTTGCAAAGATTTAGTATAAGCTTTACATTTGGAAGCTCATTGAGTAAACTCGCATTTTTTCATCGAGAATAAAAGTACTCAAATTTTACTCAATGAGCTTACAAATGTAAAGATTTAGTATAAGCTTTACATTTGTAAGCTCATTGAGCAAGTTTGGGGAAATTATTTAAAAAATCGATTATATTGGGAAAACTCTGATGTCTGAAACTAAAATGTACATACAGACATAAGAATCAAACTATTATAAATAAAATGATGCTCAATAATAAAGCGAAATTCGGATTTTATTTTTTATCTTTTTAAATCTTACAACAATATATATATTTCGCCATTTTAAATTGAGTTGAAATGAACCATTTCGATTTAAAATGGAAAATATAAAGTAATGTCGTATGTATTCGATAATTTGAATGAGTATTCGACTGAATTTCGCGATTTAATATTGAATATTGCAAATTCGTGCGGTTGTTATATTGCTTATATAGATTTATTATTCTCTATCGATTGGTAACACAAAAAGCTTTAAATCATATACACATTCATCTATATTGCTAAATTCATGTACGTTTTTTTTTAATTTTTTAAGCGAAGTGACCGTTTATTTTACCAATCCCGCCGTGAACCAATCGTAGTAATAATAAATCTCTTTTTGTGCATTCGTATGTTTTTATGTTAGTAGATACGAATGCAGAGAAATGGTTTGTCATCAGACAATTATGTTATGCAAATAGAGAGAAAGATGTTGTTGGATTACTCAATGACATTAATCCTGATGATCCAAGGTTTATGTTTGTTTCTGCACTTGGAATTATGTTGCTTGCGGATTCACAAAAGAAGAATGAAGTGCAAAGCGAGTTCATCAAATCTACAAGCATGAAATTGTTTGGAGCAAACAGAATTCCTGATGCTGTAACTCTTCTGACATTGACAGGATTTGATAAAATTGCTGTCGAAAAGTTGTTGGAAATAAACTTGTTTAATTCTGCACTTCCGATGATAAGATGCAGAGTTGAAAAACAGGATAAGTATTGTTATGTTATGAAGATTGCTGTGAAGAAGGCAAATGATGGAAATTATGCTTCTGCAGCTGCTTTCTTTGCTTCGGCTGGTGAATATCATGGAACTTTGTTTTGCTTGTGGAAATTGAATTTGATCACTGACGCTTTAGTTGTTTTAGAGAAAGCGGAAGTCAAGGAAATGAATTCTGATTTCGCAAGCCAAATTAATAATTTTGTAGCATTAGATGAGCTTGTTAAGCTTATCAAGAAATATTCTTTATTTTAATAAACATATTTTTTTAAAAGTAATTTTATATAAATGCAAAAATTACAATTCCTATTGATAATAGAAATAAGTAACTAGAAAGGAGTATCAATATATATGGTAGACAATTGCCTATTTGTAAGATTCAGCAAACTATGAGCGCGAAGAATTATTTGTTGGTTTGGATGAACACTCAAAAGTTTTGAATCTAAAAAGCAATAACTTGCTAAATAGAAAATTTGATAACAATAATTTCAAGTTAATGATGATTCAAGATATGTAATAATATTGCATGCCCAATCATTTAAGGTAAGAACTTGGTGAATAATAAACAGATTATCTCTCTATTCAGCTCATTAAAAATGTAATATAATATAAATATTGTTTAAACGAGAAAAGTTTTGTTCACAGCTGAGTTATCGTCTTTTTTGCGCTTTACAATTATAAATCCTATAATAATTGCAATAACAACAGCAGCAGCTAAGAAAACACAAACTAATACAATTGCAACAGTTTTTCCTTTTCCGGAAGACTTTTTAATCAGTCCGATTTCGCTCATGTCAATTGGTTCAATGCCGAGTTTGTTAAGTCTGGAACCCTTTTGATGGAGTAATCTCCATTCTCAAAATCTGCAAAGTCAGATTCGTTTGCATCAATGTTGTTGTCGTAATAAATTTCATCCATTATCGTTGCATTTAAATATCTATTTGTGTTATTACAAAAAATATTGTGTGAAAAAATAGCTGATGGAGGAATCAATGGTGTTTTAACAGTTCCTCTCTTATAGAATTCATCAATCTTGGTGATATTTTCGTATCTCTCTGAATATGGTGGCAAATAACCAGCGACTTTTGGATTTCCTGTGATATTGTAATAGTTTTTTCATCAAACTTTTATGGACATCTGCAAGACCCGGCATAGCACACATTGCCCTAGTTAAAAGTGCGAACTCACTTCCAATAAATACATTGTTTTTTACAATGTAATCTCTACCACCATTTACCAAAAGCCCGGATTTAACTTTATATAAAATGTTGTTTGTCACTAGAGCTGTACGCACGCATGAATCGAAATAAAATCCAATGATGATGGGTTTAGGAGTGAAGACATCGTGGATGTAGTTGTTCCTAAGTATGTTTCCTCGAAACGTGTAGTCGTTTCCTAAATATATAACACCGTTATCAGAAGCTTCCTGAAGTAGATGATGCATCTCATTTTTCTCAAACAAATGATCGTTTCCAGTTATAATAATTCCGGATTGAGGACCATTATATATAAGGCAATTGCGTACTGTGTGGCCGACACCCACTAATAAAATAGCAGGATAAGAGCTTCTGGACAAGTTACCAAAATAATAAAATTCACAATTGTAAATTAAATTGTTACTTTTTTCTAAAGTAGCTCTGTTTCCTCCACTCATAATAAGTCCGTAATTCAAAGTGTTGTGGATTAGACTGTTATTTAATGTAATATTTGACCCATACAACATTAGGCCATTGAGACCAATATTGAACACTTTTACATTATCAATGGTTACATTTGTGCAATAATAAAATTCAATACCATTATAACATGTTGCTTCAATAGATATGTCTCGGATTTCTATGTCATGAGTATTTACTGAACGTATTACTGCTTGAGTTAAATTTGATAAAAATATTTCTGTTTTTGAGTTAATTTTGCCAAAAGGTAAGAAATAAAGTATTTTCGTCTCATTGTCAATATAGAAATCTCCTGGATATCGAATCTCTTCAAGAATATTATAGAAGAAAATACCATCACCTTGTTTTGCTAAAATAGAATTGCCAGCGTTGCCAAGGTATACTTTCTGATTGCTTTTATCTATCCGAGTTACTTTTTGAGCGGATCCGGACCATCGATAGTTCCAATAACCAAAGGCCATGATATTAGGATGATATTTCCATGTGTATATGCGAGAATCATTAATCCCAATACCTTTTACTATTGATGTCGCAGTTACTGGAGAAGAAACGTTTATAAATTCGCCAACACGAGGATATTGAGCAATATTCATTTGTTGCTGATCAATATATAGATGATTGTGCGAGCATCTAGGCGAATATGTATATCCAAATTGAATAAAATGGGCGAAGATTTGTGATATTGAATTCTTTGAGATCAATTTGATATATTTTGCTTCTAACACTTTCATCTAGCCTATTTAGAATATTATTGTCTGTTACTTTGGCCCAATTTGATAATTTGATTCCACCGATTAATCTGGTATTTTTTTCTCCAATGATGCGGGTATGATTTTCTTTGATCTCAATAGGAGATGACACATAATTTATACCTGGCTTTAATTGAATATCAACTGCTGATGCTAAAAAGCGAAAAGCATTTTTTTATGAGAGTACTCTTACTCATTCATCAATATTTGTAGAATGCTATGAGATTATTAAATAAAAGATATACAATTAATTATCGCTCAAAATTTTGAATTACAGACCCGTGAAATATTATGAAAGAAATCTTGGCAGGACGAATATTTTTGTTTATCCATACCCTATGACTCATACATCAAGAGTTCTATGAATCTGACACCAACTATTGTCTAATTCAATGAATTCTATCAGAAATTGAATGCTCCACATATCTGCCTGTTGACATTACTAGAACCGTTTTTTTTTATTTGATGTCTGAAAAATAATCAAAATATAATGTATATATGATTAACCAAAGTGTTTTTATGTTAGTAGATACGAATGCACGAATGTTATAGACCGAAAATAGATTTTTTCGGTTTCTCTTCAAATAATTGAAAGAATGATACTATTATAGGTTTATTATATTATATAGCATATAATCATGCTATAGCCGAAAATTATAAGTTTTGAGAAGATTGAATATAACACAAATAAATGTGAATGTAAGTTAAATTGCTTGTTGTTTTTAATAGCTATTTAATGAGAAATCCAATATTGCAAAAATTCAAATTGAATGATTGAAAGAACAGAAAAAGTCATTCTTTTCAATTTCGAATATGTTTCATTGTATTTATAATTATATGACAAATAAGATATTTAAACTTGATTTTTGAAGGAAAATTCACAAAATTGAATAAATTCAAATAATTTTTATTCAAAAATAAACTAGTCATTTGAGTTTAATACTAATTATCTATTCAAACTACAAAGTTTGTAATTTAAAATATTCTGTGAGATCAGATTGAATTAATTCAAGGTTCTTTTCAATTAATATTAATGACCATATTACGCATTTTCGAACATTCTAAACCAAATATATAAAAATGGGAGATGAATGTTAAATTTGCTAGACATGGGGGAGTTGTCTGCAAAGTTTTAGCTCTTATCTCTAACAAAAAATTAATTTTTAAAAAAATGACCGAATACGTTTCACAGCGAGAAAAAAATAAAAGGCAAGATAGAATTTTCTAGACATAAAGAAGTTGTTTACCGAGTTTTAGCTCTTATCTCTAACAAAAAATTAATTTTTAAAAAAATGACCGAATACGTTTCACAGCGAGAAAAAAATAAAAGGCAAGATAGAATTTTCTAGACATAAAGAAGTTGTTTACCGAGTTTTAGCTCTTATCTCTAACAAAAAATTAATTTTTAAAAAAAAGACCGAATACGTTTCACAGCGAGAAAAAATAAAAGGTAAGATAGAATTTTCTAGACATAAAGAAGTTGTCTACCAAGTGTCAGCTGTTACTTCTTCTCAATACTGATATAAAATAAAAATTTTTATTATTTATTTAACCTTTATTGTTTCATTAAACTTCATTTATTTTAAAAAAAAAAAAAAAAAAAAAAAAAAAAAGGTAGTGGGGCTTTCCCAGGCACTTCGTGCCTTCTAGCCCTGAGGATGAATGAGTATAATGAAGTTTTTTTTTTCTTGGGGACCTTCCAGGCACTTCGTGCCTTCTAGCCCACATAAATGAAGTTTTTATTCGGAGTCTTCCAGGAGCTTTTCACAAATTATATATGTTTTCATGTTTTGTCAAGACTTCTTCGTAAATGTTTTGTCAAGACTTCTTCGTAAATGTTTTGTCAAGACTTCTTCGTAAATGTTTTGTCAAGACTTCTTCGTAAATGTTTTGTCAAGACTTCTTCGTAAATGTTTTGTCAAGACTTCTTCGTAAAATCAGACAAAAATAATGTTTAGGGTAGAAGGTTAGATATAACCTCTTTTCTAACCTCTTTTCTACCCTCTTGAATTTGTCAAGATTTCTTCGTAAATGTTTTGTCAAGACTTCTTCGTAAATGTTTTGTCAAGACTTCTTCATCGTAAATGTTTTGTCATGATTTCATCGTAATGAGCGTAAATGACCCAAAAATATAATTTAGGTGAAGAGGTGAGATGTCACCCGTTTTCTCACCTGTTTTCTCACCTCTTGAATTTTCATGATTTCTTCGTAAATGCTTTGTCGAAACTTCTTCATCGTAAATGTTTTTAACTTCACTTAAAATGCCACGTAAGCTACGTAAGAATATACGTAAGAGGAAGAGAGCATTGAAACATCCAATAGTAAAACTGACACCACAACAACAGTTGCAACAACAAATGCTGAATGACCCCACTATGTTGCAACAAATGTCAAGCAATCCTATGCTTTTAAACCGAGTTTTTGGTGCACAGAGTGGAGGTTTAAGAGCGGCACTTTTAGCGAAAATGGCAGGCTATGGTGGAGCTGCAGACGGAACAGCCTATAACCCTCAAAGTCAAATGAATTTGAGTTCACTCAAAATCAAATATCAGATGTCAAAAAGTCAAAATAGACATACAGAAGCAAATAAGTGAAAACGAAAAGAAACTAGAATATGACAGACACACAAAGAAACTCAATGAGTTAAACGTAGAGAAAAAGAAGAAAGAAGAACAACTGAAAGAACTAAGTACAGAGGAATATGCGAAAAAAGTGTCAGAAAAAGCAGCAGAAGTAGCAAAAATGGAACAAGATGTCATAAATTTGAAAAACCATACTACTCAATATAAAATACTGAAAGATGAAGAGATAAAACAAAAAGCCCTGAAGACATATATGGATAGCGATGAGTATAAAAAAGAAGTTGAAGCAAATGTAAAGGCAGAAAAACTTTTACAGTTGCAAAACCAAACCGTACAGTATGAAAACTTAGCACAAGAAAGTAAAAATAACGACGCAGCCATGCAAAAGGCAATGAAAAGCGCAGAATATATAAAAGCTAACAATGACTGGTTAGATGCCCAAGCCAACGCTAAAGCAGCCCAACTCATAGGGTCAATAAGGACAAAAATACAAGCGGATGAAGACAGTTCAAATGAAACTTTAACAAATGCTGACTTTAAGAACGCTTTCGAAGCTCTTCATAGTAAGGTGAAACAAGTGAACGACTTCTCATCTGGAAAGAAACTGAAGTCTGAAGGTTTCGACAACGAGTTAAGAGAAGTAGCACAAAATATGACGAAAATAACAGATGCAGCAACGAGACAGGCAGTTCAAAGTGCCTATGACTCCGTTAGAGCAACTGTTGTGGAAAGTCAAGAAAAAGAGTTACAACAGACCAAAACAGACCTAGTAAATGCTTTCTTAAAAACGAAAAGTCAGGTAGGACATTACGCTGCAGATGGAACATATGTGCCAGCTGGTGGAACTTATATACCACCAAACCCTCCAAGAGAAGCACCTGCACCAGGACTACCTAACACATTTACATCGTCACATGGACATAGACACAGGCATGCACCAAAACCAACACAACAACCAACAGTTCAAAACCCTGCACAACAACCAACAGTTCAAAACCCTGCACAACAACAACCACAAACAGAGCAAGGACATAAAAGAAGTAGAGAACAAGGAAACCAAGAATTCTTAAAAATGCTTAAAGAAGAGTGTGGTTTCCCAGATACTATTGACTTTAGTGACAGATATAAAGAAGCTATTCGAAAGTTCAAGGATGGAAATACTGACCCGGACCTATTTAGCTTTATGGCTCAGCACCAAAACGGATATAATCTCAAACCTGGAAAATACAAGCTCGCTAAGGGATATGATTTAATAGCATATCATCCAAATGACATGGATGAATTTACTCCGAGATATTTGATGTCAGAGCTAAATGACAATTCAACTTTCGTCATGAAACGCGTAAAAAATAGAGACGGAACGAAAGAACAAAAGCTTATGAATGCGGATGACGTAGATAGGGAAATTGTTGAAAACGGTCTCGGAATATATGAAATGCCAGCAGATGAGGTACAAGAAACTCCACAGGAAGAACTAGTTCAGATACAACCAGACATGGAAGAAATAGTTCAGCAACAACAGCTAGAAGAGCCTGAAGGAAACGAACAAGTCACTCCTTTGGAAACTAACTTCACAGAACTAGATGAAGATTTGGAACAGCCGAAAAATCTTGACCCTCAACAAGAGTATGCGGAGAATATGGAATATTTCCAAGAGTCTAAAAAAAATTCGGCTGACATAGTAGAAGAATATCGAAAAATGTTTGCCGACATACAAAAGACTCCAACACCAGATGAAAATATTCAGCATAGAATGGAAGTACTGAAAGAAAATGTACACAAATACAACAACCCTTTTTACTTACGAGCATTTAACGTTCAATCTTCGGATGAACTCGGTGAAAATAAAAGGTTAAATTTCAAGAAAACATATAGAAATGAAACATTGTTTAAAGTTCATTCAGAACCTAACCAAGATGGAAACAAACCTACTTTTGTTTCTGCAGACGATGGAACTACAATGAGATGGGGTCATAAAGCTAATCCGGATAGGTGGTTCATAAACTTACAACCACAATTCCAAGAAGTTGTAGACGCAATGGAAGTCAATGGTGAACCAGATATAGCTGGTATTTTCAGCGCGGCTTTAATGCCATTGAAAGATATGAAACATGCAGATATTTTGGACCAGTATGAAATGAACATGGCTGATGGAAATATAACACCTGACGTTCTAAAACATTTATCTCAAAGAACTACACAGAACCATAGAGATGGTATATTTGGTGAAGAGTTTAGAAAGAAAGTTAGGGAGGGCGAAGGAAGAGAACCTATTGTACATGACCTTGCAAACGAAAGTTTACAAAATGTCATAAAAACTTACTTTGCAGACAATGAAATGAGAAGGGATGAATATTTAAGAAAACTCAAATGGACAGTACCAATGAAATGTTAGTATTGAAAAACATGTTCCTTGACAAAATAAAACCAACTACAGAAATAAACGACCCAAGACTGAAACATTGGGTAAAAGCTTTCCCATTCACAAAAGATATAATTGGTAACATGGAAAGAAAACCAGAATGGCTACAAAAACATATATTTGGAAACGAGCATATTCCATATGGACAGGCACTGTTTGAAGAGCTTGAACCGGAAACTCAGGAAAGAGTCATGCAAACAATACGCGAAGACTCAAATACAAACTATGACAAACTCTTTCTAGGATATAGGTTACCTGAGATGGGCGACCAGAGCCCAAAGGCAAAAAGGACATGGGAAATTTACAACATACTAGGTGAACATGAGGCAAAGATGCAACAACTTGAAGCAGAGGGCAAGTTACCAAAGAAGAAGAGAAGAGTAGAACAAAGTGAAAGTAGTGAAGAAGTAACTTCATCTAGTGAAAGTAGTGGCAATGAAGGAAAAAAGAAGAGTTAAAAACTCAGTCAGGAAGAAAGTAAAGCTTGGTCCGAGTGGGTTCTATTATGATATATAAATCCAACTATTCTAATTTTTACCCATATGAAATGTACGCCGCTCAGAATATAACGCCAACAGTTTTGGATGCCATGAACGGAAATGTTTCCGAATGGTATAACGAATGCGACAATGCCATTAGAAGGTCAGAAATAGTTCCTGGAACTTACGAATATACAACTGCTGTTTCTTATGGAAACGTAGGTGAGTTTGGAGAAGGTTCTTCAACAACAGTAGATATTGCTTGCGACAGGTTTCATATTATTTTCTATTGACAACTCATTCTTATACGTGGAACAAACATTGAAATAAACCTTCTGCCAAGTTGTCTGACAAGAAAGGTTGCAATGGAATTTTCTATGTCGGATACCAATATGCTCCAGAAGTTTTCATGGGATATAAGATATATTCTAACTCTGACTTAGTTCAAACAGTAACATGGGCAAACTATGAATGGTTCGCTTTGAGAAACTCACAACCACAAGCTAGAGAACAAACAGACCAGTATGCAAATATTGAGAAAATAAGAAGACTTGACCCTAACGTTCCAGGAGTTTATGTTGACCTTTCTGGACAAACTGCAGCAGCAGTAACCAAAGTAAAATTGAAACTTAGAGTTCCTTTGTCATCTTTCCTCATCTTCAGGTTTTTAAGATACTTGCCAAACTGGGCAGGAAAAATTTCTATCGAACTTACTCCAAGCAAAAATAACTTAGTCATTGCACCAACACACAAGACCCATTCACTCTTACAGAAGTAGTGGGAACAAATAAAATGTCATTCGCCGACTTTTGCAAAGACAAAGTTGACTTAGACTTTGGTTTCTCAAACCTCAACACTGATGTAAACTATTATTTCAATGCTGCTGGAACTGCTTGGGACCCAGTTAAGTTCACATGCGAAAAGTTTGAATGCAAGAGAATAGAAAGCAGACTTGCAGTCTATATGTTGGACCAGATATTTCAAATGCTTTAGCTGCCAAATATATTGCAGTTTCCACTTATGTTCCCTATACACCAAATATCTGTCAAAGACTTTGCAGGTGAAGTTGGAAACCAAAGTGCTGACCCAGGTGCAAGAACAGATATTGCCTTAACAACTGCAATGAAACATGCAGATACTATGTTTGTACTGTTCAGACGAACTATAAATGACTATTCTTGCTTCTACAACCCTGGTATTAAATATCATATAAACATAGATGGCAAATACTATCCAAGAGAAGAATATTCTACAGTTGAGGATATGAGGTCATACAACTTGACATTAGATGCTATGAACTTTAACAACAACTTCACAACAACCATTAACCCTGAAATGCAAAGTTCTATTATGCCATATGTGAAAGTATGGACCCATACAGGAGCTCAAAAAACTCAATATACAAATGGAGACCGTTCAAACTTTTGGCTTGGCATTCCATTTGCTGACTCAGAAGACTTTATGGGTGGTATTTCAACTGTTGGTACTGTACAAATACAATATACTGGTGACAGAGACGGTCCAGATGAATTGAGAGCAAAGAAGTTTACAAAACCAATAGCACTTTTCACGGAAGATGCTCTTTTGAAGATTCGTTCGATGAAACCTGCTGGGGCTCCTCAGATTGGCATAACGACAGCTTCCATCGAGCAGATTTTGGCAGCAGGTCAGTAAGTTGTTCTTGAACTGACTTCTCTCCGTCAAATATTGACAGTACGCCAGTTTTGATATAATATTGTATTATAAACTTACCTTTAGAAATATCTGTAAGTTTTGTTGTTATATTTTTGTCAACGTCAAGAACTTTCACCATCTCGGTTATACCAACTTTCTTTGCTTTATGAAAATATTTTGGTTCAGCAAAGACTGCTATTCTATAACATTTTCCATTGTTTGTATAAAGAACTATTCTGTCAATGAACTTGTATTGTTTGTGTGTGTAAACTTTGTTTTGCTTCAATTCGAAGAGATACTCAAATACGTCCATCTTTTTATTCTAAGTAAAATGTCATTTCCGAAAAAATAGAAGCATAAGTGTTTCAAAAGGTTTAATGGCGATGGCAGATGTGAAGTTAAATTCACCAACTCAAACAAACAGTCAAAGTGTTGTTGTCAATGTCAAAGAAAGAGATGTTGAAGTGGGGAAACCATACGAAGACGAAGATGGTATAACAATAGTTCCTGTAAAAGAACAACCAACATATCCTGAAGTTAGCAGAGACTTAAGTTCTGTTGCAGATATTCGAAACGACTACCAACAACTTAAAGACAAACTTAAAACTCAGGAGAAGATTTGTCAGGCTTTGGGTATAATGTTAAACTTGGTCGAACACAACCCTGTAAAAGTGAACTCATATGTCATTGCACCTCATGAAGTTTTGAAAGAACTATTGAAACTTTTGACAGAGGCAGACGATATAAACATCAAAGAAATAGAACCGACATTGCTTGCTGTGGTGTTTCATATAATGTCATTGACAAGATATACGTTATGAAAGGAGGTGAAACGTTGAACTTAAAGTATAGTTTCCCAGACGTCATAAAAATATTTGACGACCACAACATTTCATTAAAATTTATTTGCTAAGTAAATGGCAGAAGACATAGTGGTTTATACTATTACGACTAAAAACCCTGAGTCATATAATTCTATAACAACAAACTTACAAAGTCCTCAAGGACGATATTGTAAACTGACCTTAAACACGATGACGACTAAAGCCTGTTTTGCTCTTTTGACACCAGAAGACTTTGTTGTTGTGAATGGTAAAAAATACTTCTTTGAAGATACTTACTCAGATATACCACCAACAGGTTTTGTTGACTTATTTAATACTTTAAGGACGGATGTAACATGTGCTGCAACTAGAGCAGGTTTCATTATGTTTGGATGTCCGACTGAGTTTACTATAAACAATATGAGCTATAATACAAAACTTATATCTGGTTTTTACTACCAACAGTTTCCTATAACAGGAAAAGGTGTCATACAAGGAATGTCTGTTCCATTGACTTTAAGTACACCTATTTTATATATTGTTTCAAACTTAGGTTCAAAGTGTTATTCGAATGTCGACAGAAACTATTATGACCAAAAGATACTTATGCGTATAAACAACACTTTCTCTGCTGGTTTGCCTATTGTTCATTCGAATGCAGAGTTTTCAGCTTTAGTAAACTCAAACACTTTAGCAAACATAAACTTAACCTTAGTTGACGCAAACTTTGTTCCTGTAAAACTTTTATGTCCTATGTATTTGTCAATGACGGCAGAAAGTTTCGAATTGGAAGATGCAACAGGTGAAAGTATTGTACTACAAGAACAACTTCAACAACAAATAGCTCAAGAACAACAAATGCAACAAATGGAACAACAAAGTCAAGAATAAAAAAAATATTTTTTTTATTTTTATAAAAATGTACAGAATAGATGTTTCAGATTTTTATGACTTCCAAGCATTCAGAAATATGTGTCCATTTCGAGACTATAACAAAGCAGTCGAGAATTTGAAACGTTTAGTCATTTATGTTGACTCTGCCCCAGAATGTTATGTTATGAAAGAATGGGATGTTGTCTTTAACAAACCAAGAGCAACAATAGTTTCAGAACAAGAATGTAGACAGAAACTTAAGAAAATAAAAGTCGTACAAGTTGGCATGAAGATGTTAGATGCTTGGGATATCTTATTGTCAAAGTTAGAAGATTTTTCAGTTCGAGGTATAAAGTTCTATACACCTTCTCCAAACTTCTATTCTATCTTCACTGGATATAAATACGAACAAGTAGAATGGAAAGAAAATATTATAGAAGCTTGGTTAGACCATGTCAAAGAAATTATATGCAATGGAAACGAAAGAGTCTATGAGTATATCTTATGTTGGTTTGCAAACATCTTACAACATCCAAGTGCTAAAAATGAAACTGCTCTCATTATAATTGGAAAACAAGGAACAGGTAAGAATACTTTCTTTACAGATATCTTATGCAAACTGTTAGAGGGCTATTCGAATCCGAATATGACAAACTTAGAAAACATCTGTGGCAAGTTTAACTCCTCAATAGAGAATATGAAACTTATAGTTTGCAATGAACTTCAAAGTATAGATACAACAAAAGTTTTAAACTCAGATGCTTTGAAGAGTCTTATAACAGACAAAGTTGGAGTTGTTGAAAGAAAGTATAAAGACCAAAGAGTTTGTGAAAATGTTGCAAACTTCATTATGGTTTCAAACAATGCTGTTCCGATGAAGTTAGAAAGTTCTGACAGAAGATATGTAGTTGTCAGAACGTCAGATTCTCATATGCAAGATACAGAATATTTTGACGACTTAGCAGAAACTTTGATATCTGACTTTTACAACCACTTGTTCTCATATTTCATGACATTAGATATTTCTAAGTTCAATCCAAGACAAATTCCACATACAGAAGAGAGACAAACATTGTTAGAAGCAAACAAGAGTGTATATGAACTGTTCATAGATGAAACTGACTTTGTGTCATTAGATGAAAGGTCATTGTACGATTCATATAAACAGTATTGTCAAGAATATGGTTATATGGCAGCGTCTAAACGTACATTCTTGGCAAATGTCAAAAATCTTTTAGATGTTCAGAACGGCGTATATACAAAGAAAAATTTTTCTGAGTAAATTTTAAAAACAGTATTTTTTTATTTTATTTGAAATGTACGCTGAGTTTGTTGGAGAAGACCGTTGGGAAACTTGTTTGTTAGATGAGAAATATGAAATTCACTGTTGTGAGTCATTTGAAGTCAGAAACAAAGAGACAAAAAGAGTTTTAAGCGGATGGGAGCAAAATAACGGATATGCGCTATTCTGGTTAGATTGTCCTTATGAAATGTATGAAAAAAAGGCTTTATATGAAGAATATAGAAAATATTGTCATGAAAACGATATAAGACCAAGCTCTAGAGAAAAATTCTATGCTGGTATAAAACATCTTTTCGAAGTTCGGAATGGCAAATATAGAAAGAAATAATTTTTCTGAGTAAATTTTAAAAAAAATATTTTTTTTATCCGATAGAAAAGATGACGAAATTCATCTCAGTAAATAAGTACATGACAGAAGTCAAAGATAAGTTAGCTCCATTCGCATATTTGAATGTTTACTTCTACAATTTTGAAAAGTCTACATTTGACAAAATTTGGAACATTGCACCAGTTAAGTTTGCTGTTGTTAGAAAAAGTGGTGCAACTTTTGAAGACTTAGACATAGAAGGTTTGTTAACAGTCAAAGAAAATTTTGACAGAAAGTTCTCAAAACTCGAAGAAGGTAAAGCATACAAACTTGTTATACCTTATGAACCAAAGAAAGCAGACGACTATGAATATTATGAGTCTAAGATAGTTGAAGTTCAAGGTAAATTGGGTAAAAAGATTTTAGAGTCTAAGCCAGTGTTTGCCCCTAAAGAGGAAGAGAACATTGACATTGACCCAGAAATGTTCTAAAAATAAAATTTTATTTTTACATGTCAAATTTCTTTTTCTCTGGAACTGGTTCAGGTTCTTTCTTCTCTTCTTCTACTTTCTTTTCTTTCTTTCTTTTCTTTCTCTCTCTTCTTCTCTCTGGTGGAGTTATGTCAAATTTCTCCGAACCATATTTCTGTAAAAGTTCTTTGTCCTTTAATAGCTCTTCTATTCTGTTTCCTATTTCATCTTCAAGAACAGCGCATGTGTCTTCTTTGCATTCTAAGAACTTTTGTTGGACTTCATCTTTCCAATCGGCGTCATCTCTGTCAACAAGTCTGTCATTGACAAATTTTAAGACTGCTCTGCTTAATGTTTTATGGTTCTTGTCATATTCCCAGAAACAGAACTTTAGAACAAATTCACCTTTCTTGTTTACACTATGTAAGATTTTATGGTCGACAGATGTTTTGCTGTCGAAAAGCTTGTCTCGAATATAGATAGCGAAATCGCTAGACATTTTGTAAAAGATAAAAGTTTTAATTTTTCTAAAAATATGTTAGAAAAAAAGTTTGCTGACATTGACAAGAAATTTGAGAATGTTTTAAATAAGAACAAGAGGAAGTTGGAAAATGCTCAGATAAAACCCATACATGACAAGTTCTTATTTGCTCAGAATGGTATAACAGGTCTAATTGCACCACCTGGGTCGGGTAAGACTTTCACTTATCTTAAAATGGCTGCACAACAACAAGAACTAGATGAGAAGAACCCATTCTATGAGTTAGTTGTTATTTGTAGTACTTCTGGTCAATTTGACCAAACCGTCAATTCGTTCAAAGATATTATAAAGAAGTCTAAGTTAGTATGTATAAAGGATACTGAGTTGTTAGATTGGATAAAGAAGTACCAAAGAAGAGTTTTGAAGTATAATGCTATAAATGAGTATATAAATTCTAAGTTTAAAGACCCAAATGAGGAAATGCAGAGAATATTAGAGAAGAAACACTTCAGAAACAAACAGAAAGAGATAGAATACATTTCGAAGAAATTGCAATCTTACGATTGGAAGACTTACCCTCATAGATGTCTTCTTATTTTAGATGACTTTGCTTCTCATCCTTTGTTAAAGAACAGAGAACAAGATATGTGTCGAATTCTTAAGAAGCTCAGACACTTTAACATCTCAGTCGTAATATGTGTACAGACAGCAAAGAGTTTAAGTAAGGATGTTAAAAGAATACTTACTGACATTATACTTTTCCCTGGATTGTCCGAAGACGATTTCATGGAACTTATGAAAGAGTCCATGGCAGGTAAGTTTGACAGACATGAACTATGGGAGAAGTACAAAGTCATACAAGACCCTCATACTTCTTTCAGAATTCATATCTACGCAAACAAAGTTCAAATTGTAAAAAGTCAAGCTTGAAAAATAAAGAGTTTGGTCTTAGTCTGTTGTGGTGCTGGGGCTTTCGGTTCTTCTGGCTTTGGAAGACATTCAGGAAGAGGAACGTCGGACATTCGTTTGTGTCCTGTCGGATGGAAATTTTTTTCCAGTTGTCGGGAAATTTTTTTCCTGTCTGAAGGAAAAATTTTTTCTGTCGTTCGACCAAAAAGTTCTCAATTTTCGAAAATTTGAATGGTTTACGGACGAACAACAGGAAATTTTTTTCCTGTCTGAAGGAAATTTTTTTCCAGTTGTCGGGAAATTTTTTTCCAGTAGGAAGGAAGGACTCGGAATGCAAGAAGGAAGAACTTGGAATGTCGGAAGGAAGAACTTGGAATGTCGGAAGGAAGAACTTGGAATGTCGGAAGGAAGAACTTGGAATGCCAGAAGGATTTGACAAGACAATTTACCTTATAGAGCTACCTGAGCCATCTGAAGTCAAGCGTAAAAATAAATGGTTCATCTACTCTACTTGTTTGAAGTTGTCAAAATACTCTGTTATTTTTTCCTTCAGTAGCGGCAAGTCTTCTTTGAAGGTAAAAATTGTACAACCTTTCATATCATAGTGTGTTTGAGGTAACGTATCTTGAACTATTTGTTTCACATCTTCATTTGGGGTCATTGAAATCGGTAAGTTTTCGCGATAGAACCAATTTCTGTCAGATTTGTAAATCTTAGCAAGGTCGTAAAAGCTTTTGTTGTTTCTTCTGACTAAATGCAACATAACCATATCTCTGTCTTCTTCATTTTCCATCTCTTCAGTATAAATCATATACTTATAACTCTTTTCCTTTCCTTTTGGTACCGAACGTGGTATTCTTTTCTGAATGCTTTTGTCTTCTTTCATCATATCTTCTCTCTGCTTTGTACAAAGTTCGTCAAGTAGCATAAGTATGTAGATTGCATAACGAGGTGAAGCCCACATTGCTATTGAACTAACTAGGAACTTATGAACATATATACCTTTTAGATGTGATGGTAAGTTTTGCCTGTCTTGGTACATCTTTTTAAGTTCTACATGTTCAAACTCACTGAGGAGTTCATGAGTGCTATTTAATTCAAACCAGTCTTTAGGAAGCTTAGTGTCTGGAGCAAAACAAGCCGTCAAAATACTTTGCATTTGGTACATATCGTCTTTGACCGAACGAATGAGACGGAGTTGTTTGTTAAACTGAACCCACTCATATTCTTCATTTATAGCTTCATGGACTATAACTGTTGTTGTGTTCTCTGTTGTTGACATATCTGTCTTTACATACAAAATAAAAAAATAAATAAAAATAAAACTAACTTTATTTTTTCTATCTTAAGGAAATTCATGAATTTCATAGAGTTTTGGCGACTAAGTTTTTTAACGTACTCGCTGTTCTTCACTGTTTCCGAGGGAAGCAATCTTATGCCATTTTACTCAGAATTTTGTTGCTGAATTCAGCAAAAATAATGTTTAGGTGAAGAGGTGAGATGTCACCCGTTTTCTCACCTCTTTTCTCACCTGTTATTTTATAAGCGTTTTACATGGTAAACGTTATTTTTACATGTATTTTTCAGCAACTTCGTCAAATAATTTTATAGCTTTATCTATCTCATCTACTTCAAACGTTTCTTTACCTTTCGTGGGAGCACCATACATTTTCTCAAACTTTTCAAGTAGTTCTGTTTCAGCAGCTCTCATATCGTTAACAAACACAACCTTGACTATATTGACTGTACTGTCATATCTTAGAGTTATATTATATGTTCTTCCTATCTTATATCTCTTTGTATTGAAGTCCTTCGGTTTCTGAACGATGTAAAGTAAGCCTTCACTGCAACGTTCTGAGTCGAATGAACCATATGTTATGAAGTTATATCCAACAACTGGGTCTAACCATAACAAAACTATTGGTATAAGACTTTTGTCTATAAGATATGCTGTAGTTCCATAGAATCTTACCGATATCATAAGCTCAGGATTTCTTGTCAAAATTTTCTGAGTAGAAGCAATTCTAACCCAGTCCTTTGCTCTCTTTCCGGATGGAGATAAAATGTCTGACAAAGAATATTTTTTGTATTTCTTTGAGTATCTTACGTTTAAATCACCTATTCTAACCAATTTGGTGTCATTGTCTATCTTTTTAACTGTTTCAAACTCAATGTTTGTCATTTCTGTTCTTACATACAAAATAAAAAAAATATTTTATAAAAAACTAACTTTATTTTTTCTGTCTTAAGGAAATTCATGAAATTTCATACGGAATTCAGCAAAAATAATGTTTAGGTGAAGAGGTGAGATGTCACCCGTTTTTTCACCTGTTTTCTCACCTCATGAATTTTCATGATTTCTTCGTATATGTTTTGTCAAGACTTCATCGTACATTCTTTGTCATGATTTCATCGAAACTAAACGTATATGTTTTGTCAAGACTTCATCGTAATGAGCGTAAATCAGACAAAAATAATGTTTAGGTGAAGAGGTGAGATGTCACCTGTTTTTTCACCTGTTTTCTCACCTCAGTTATTTTTTAAATTTTGTGAAAACTCAACGGTTTGACACATGCCCTAAAAATTATTTTACTCAGAATTTTGTTGCTGAATTCAATAAAAATAATGTTTAGGTGAAGAGGTGAGATGTCACCCGTTTTCTCACCTCTTTTCTCACCTGTTATTTTATAAGCGTTTTACATGAATTGTACGATGTATATTTGAAATCCTAAACAGTTTTGTAGCTTCTATTTCTTCTTTTAGTACATCGAATGTTTTAACGATACCGAAAGTTTCTTTATACTTCTTCTTGACGTCAGATAGAAGGAAATCTTCTGCTGTTGGATAGTTTTTGTTCAGAAATGCTAACATATCCATTTTATTTTCTGCTGGTTTTTCTGCTTCTTTCTTTAAGTCTGCATAGTCGTTTCGCATACGTTCTATCTCTTTGACGGAGTAGTTATATTTCCTCATTGCTGCTTTACATTTAGAACATTGCGGGTTCATTTTTGCGTTATATTCTGAAACCTTACCTGCTAAAACAACCAAGGCGTCAATTGCTCTCTTCATCTCAAACATAGCGGGTCTTATCTGTTCATTCCATACCTTACCCCTACTATCTTTATCTCTTATTTCCCATACACATTTTGCAACTAATGAAACAAAGTTGTCGTAGGTCTTAAATTCTTCGGATTTGTAAAGGTCAGAGATGTTCTTATATAACATGTCGCAATCTTTGTCCATAACTTTATGGTTGCAATGAAAACCAAGGAATTCATAATTTACCTTTCGTATGAACTTCTTTATTTCTACTGAGTCAGTTGGTTTCACTTCAATTTCATCGAATTCAGGAATAGTTAGTTTTTGTTGCTGAATTTCAGGCAATTTGGGTAAATGGTCAATAATGTCCTGCATTTCATAAAGATACTGTTCATTTGTTTCATCTTTTGCAGTGCAATCTAAATCTCCTTGGAGAAGTTCTTGCTTTATCTTCTGGATTTCTGTTTCGAAAGTATATGAAGAAGGAATGAAGCTTTTCATTTCTACTAACATTGACGTAGGATTCATGACTAACGAGTTTGGTGAAGTTGTTGCTAACATGTTCTTACAATAAAAATAAAAAAAAATATTTTATAAAAAACTAAAATATATTTTTTATCTTAAGGAAATTCATGAAAATCCAACGGGTGAGAAAACAGGTGAGAAAACGGGTGACATCTCACCTCTTCACCTAAAATATATTTTTGTCGAAAAAAATGGTTCATTTACTCACAATATTTTTGTACAAAACAACCCCAAGCTTTTAACTTCTTTTCTGCAGCTTCAAATGCTATCTTAGCGAGTTCATATTCTCTAAATTCTCTCTTTAAATCTTCTTGTTCCCATTGGTCTAGTTCGTATGGCGAGTCTCTATAACCAGAACATATCTCACGTTCATGTTCTATTTGTTTTTCATGCATTTTTCTAACTTCTTCTTCGAACAAAGGTTTTGCATTCTCTACTGTATCTTCAAGTTCTTCTTCATCTAATTTCTCATGAACTTTCTTGTCTATGGAGTCCATAATTTTTCCAACTGCTATGCAATATTTTGGAGAAGCCCACATTGCTATATAGTTTACAAGTCTTGGGTCTACATACATTCCTCTAACCTGTTTGATTTCATCAGGAATTCCTGCATGAATTTTGTATAAAAAGCAACCCGCTGTTTTCCGCGGGTTGGTATATTCTTCACAAAATGCCTCAAAATACTCTTCCCAGGACTTATTTTCCAACAACCTTCTAAAGTCCTTCCTAAACTGCTGACACATATTTGTTGCATTTATATAACCATCCTTGTCTCTACGTAAGACTTCAATACCGTTGTAAGTGCCTTTTGTGAATGTTTCGCCATTAGATTTGTTCGTGAACGTTTTTGCTTCGACTGACATTTCTGTTCTTACAATAAAAATAAAAAATATTTTTTGGTGGGACGTCGGACATTCGTTTGTGGCTTAACCGTCGGACCACAACGATAAAAATCTCGACAAAACATATACGATGAAGTCTCAACAAAACATTTACGATGAAGTCTTAACAAAAAATATACGATGAAATCTATTTCCTGTGTTGTTGTCAAAATGTCATGTTGTCACACTTTTTCAAAAAGATGTTAGTTGACCGAGTGACCGAGTGACCTGGTCGCCTAAAATATATTTTTTTCTATCTTAAGG